ATCAGCTCCACACTTTGGGATGTGAGTACATACTCAAGGAATAAGATCATTATGTGGAAGAAAAGGGATATTTTATTTTTCCTCCTTGGTTTAATTCTCCCCTTTTAATTGATTCCCCAGATAACAGATGCTCGCAAAAGAAAAACATAGCAGCGACCTGACCATGACTTCCTCCCTTCTGTGCATCTCTTCCTAGAGCAGTGACTCACTTTCCTGCTCAGAAATGGGGCCAGCAGCCACTGGTGGGTCAGGCTGGAAACCTGAGTCATCTACGAAGTCTGCCTTCCCTTCACACCCTTGTCTAGGCATTGTTAATTCATAAAAATAGAGCTAGAACTCTACTTCCTCGCATCTGCTTTCCTGCGCCCCAGTCTGAAGGCTCCACGCTTCCTGCTTGACTTCTGTGGTGGTTCATGGACTCCTCTGGGTTCCTGCACTTTCCTGTATGCCCCAGCCTACAGCTCGTGCATGTGACCACAGGGATTCCTTTAATAGCTGGTGATATTCCCAAATCCCCATGCTCACACTGACCACACTGAAAACAATATCCACAGTCCACCCAAGGCTGTGAGGCCCCTAGTTATGGGCCCTGCTGCCTGCTGTCACGGTGACCTAACCGTCCTGCCGATTGCCTGGACATTGGATGCCCTGGTCTTTCTCTTTGGCTCCAGCACCTCCACTTCAGAGAGGCCTTTCCTAACTGCCCAAATTACAATGGTGCCCATTCTTCTAATATGGGTCCCTTTTGTCCCCTTGCCCTCTGGCTTGGCTTCAGAGCTCTTCCCAACACCTGCCTCGTGTCACTGATCCTACATCTCCAGTGCTTGTTCTGTTTGCGCCTCACCTTCCTCATCCTACATGGTGAGGTCCGTGGAGCTGAAGACACTGCACACTTCCAAATGCCCAGCGCACAGCACAGGGGCAGCTTGTAATGGTGCTCTGTAAGTATTTGATAGTCAACAGAAGAAAAAGGAATGGAGTACACTCATGTGGGGACTTCAAGTTTCTCCTAACCCAGTGACACCCTAGGTCTCCTCCTTGCCATTTGTAAGGAGCTTGGGGAATCAGGAAACCCAATATGTGCTCTGTTTTGCTCCTGGCTCACTCTCTGAGGAGGTGACTACAGAACATGTTAGCTCTTTGATAACGTCTGTCATGCACTTGGGGACATTTGTCCTTAGCCACCTTTCTCGTCAGTCTGAAAGCTTCAAGAGTGACTGTCTGCTTTGTTCCTCAGTATACCCAGGTGATAGGGACACAATAAGGGCTCAGTTAGTATTTGTTGAATACTTTTATGAAAAGCAACAAAAATTAGCACTATAAAATTGGGGGAAAAAAGAGATGTGATTGGTGATTGACTAGTTGTCTGTTTCCTGATGAGACATTCTTTTATTTTCTGGTTAGCGGGAAGGGAGATTGGTGGGACTTCTGTTCTTGGAAGAGATTTAATTACAGAACCACCCGTCTGGTTGACACTGTGGAAATCACCCAAAGAAGGCAGTGAGTCAGATCTTGCTGCTGACACCGTCTAAGTGCAGGATCTTTTCTCGGTGGTGTGTCACCAGGAAATTCTTCTGTGCCCTGTACCCGAGGTCTTCCTTTCTTTGTCTCTGTTTTCCTACCAAGGAAGCTAAAGCAGAATTGAAGGCACAGTGGTAAGAATTAAGAAAGATTCTCAGGCGTCAAATATTCTTTTTAATTGCCCTTCATAGTTGAAATAAAAACAATAACATCTATATTTTCAGAATTTGGATAAATCAATTTGAACAACTGGGCATTTAATTTTTTAAAGTTTGCTCTGCATGATTGTATCATAAAGTCATGAAACACATTCTTATAACTGGTAAGAGTTTCTCATGCATATATTCAGGCCTGGTGCAATTGAGCCACAAAAGTAGAAATGAAATTCCGGTAGAGTTTATGTAATCAGTATTTACAGGAAGACTGAGACTACGGGTTTTCAGGGGGCAAAATAAAAAAGCTGGGGTGGGTGTTCTGGAGAAATAACTCTCACTCTGACTTGCTAACACTGTGCTCTAGTCCTGGAGCAGCCGGCTTCTCAAGGCCAGGGCTGCATGGGTCTTATCTCAGTGCCTCTCTCTCTATGGAATGTCAGAGCTTGTGAAGCCATGACCCAAGTAACCAGGAGCAGGAAGACTGAGCTCCAGCCTGGGGCTGGGAAGGATTAAAACCATCTGAAGTTTATGAGATGTATAAAGAGCTGGATTCTGGCCATTTGAGGCGAGTTGCACACGTACATGAAGAGCAAGCCCATTCTCAGTTTTCTGAGTGAGACTTTCGGACCAAGTGCTGACAGGAGGCACAGCAGTAGGAGGCAGGGCTGTCCTGGAAGCCTGGGACTCTGCTCGCCGTTCTTTGGCAAGCCTGTGCTGAGTGTGGCCACTTCTCAGAAACAGGGAAAAGAAACCTAAAGCCATCTGTCTGACTTCTTAAAAACATTCCTATAAATTGACAAGGTCAGTTGCCACTATAACAAATTATCACAAATTTAGAAATGTAAAGTAACACAAATATATTATTTTACACTCTGCACATCTGAAGCTTCATGTTCCGTGGAGCCTAAGAGCACGGTGTTGGGAGAGTTTCGTTTCCTGGAGACCTTGAGTGAGAAGCCGTTCCATCATCTTTCCCACCCTCTAAAGGTGGCCTGGACTCCTTGGCTCTTGGCCACTTCACCCTGACCCTGGCTTGTCTTGTCTACCTCATCTCTCTGTGTGGCTCTCCTGCCTCCCTCTTGTCTGTGGTTACATTACACAGGCCCATTTGGGTAAGACAGGATAAGCTCCCTTCTCAAACCTTAATCACGTTTGCAAAGTCCCTCTTGTCATGAATGGTGACAAATACAGAGGTTCCAGGCACTAGACTGTAGGTAGTTTAGGGGCCATTAGTGCATCTCCCCATAAAGCAAAGGAAACTACTCACCCTTGATCTTTCTTGCCTTTCTCACAACTTCTATGAGCCACTAGGTGATACCAAGCTCTGCTGGGATTCTTCTTGAGATGGAGCTCTCTAAAGGTTCAGAATAAAGTGCCACCAACAGCCACATGCACACGTCTCTGAACTGCCTTCCTGGCCAGACACTGGGCCAGGATCTCGTCCGGTCCGTGTTGATGTAGGTGTCAGCAGTGCTTCCCATCTAGTGTACCTCCCCCCGCCCCACTGCCCTCACTTCTGGGCACAGACTGGAGTACAGTGCGGGATTCTTTCTAGGTGGGAAGGTTATGTGATTACATTTATCCCATGAATAACTGGGCTGTGCGTTTCACTCATGAGATGTGATCTTCTAGCACCTGCTCTTTTCCCTGTAGTTCAAAGTGGATGGACTTAGAGTTGACCATGCTGAATACGCTGGACGCAAACTTTGTTATAGCCACTGATATTTTTGTTTGTCACTGTACTATGTATCAGAAGTCTTCCTGACTGGTGCACATTAGAAAGGCTGAAAGAAACAAAATGAGAAGCGTTAACAGTACAAACAGCCTCTAACTGTCTGCACCACAGGCCACATAGACTTTCCTTTCCTACGAGCTTTACGTCCTTGTTGTCAGTTTGCTTTTTCAAAGTGGTGGAAGTTTCTGGAATGTATATGATAACGCACTCATGGCCTTAGTATTGGTCACAAGGAGTTGACTGTCTCTTCTGCATCCACAGACGTGAATATAAAAGCTTTGGTTTGTTTGTTTGCTGGTTGGTACTGGGAATCAAACTGAGGATTTCATGTTTGCCAGGGAGGCGCTATGCCACTGAGCTACATCCCAAGTATAAAGCTTGGATTAGCCAGCTCTCCTGCTCTCCTGTCACGGAGATACAATACATGACACCCACAACTTTAATGTAGCTCACGGTTTTCGGGGACTCAGTCCATGGTTTCCTGGTTCCAAAACGGAAACCTGACGGCAGAAGCACATGGCAGAGCAAGGTGCTCAGCTCGTGGCAGCAAGGAAGCAAAGCAAGGGGACAGTATGAGAGGCGAAGGGCCAGGGACCAGCTTGTCCAAGGTCATGCCCATGTTGCCTGCCCACGTATACCCAGGATGTGCTTTACTGATCTACTAGACATTTCTTAACTAATCAAGTTGATGTGTTGTAATTAACAATCTCAGGTCTGTAGCTAAGAAAGAATAGAATGTGGTACTGGAAACATGTAACATCTTCATTTCTTGCTGTCTTCGTATTGTGTAGTAAAGCCTCATAATTGAAGTTTGCTTTATTTCAGAGCAAGCACAGGATGGGGGAAACTTTGGGGGTTTGCTAGAAATCATGGTAGAAGAGAAGCATGCAGGCATTCAGAAGAAAGAAAGAGGTGGAAAAGAACTGTGTCAGGTGGCCCATATCCTGATGTGTGTGCTCCATAGATCCTCATGTCCCAGGGCTCTGCATTTTGCAGTCACTTGCTTTGCTCCTTACACCCCAGCCCTCCTGGGGTTGTTGTCCAAAGCCTTGGGTTGGAATTCTGGCAGAGCTCCTGGCACCTGGAGATGTAACTCCAGCCCAGTGCCATTGGTACAGCCAGGGGCCCAGATGCCTGCAGATCAAAACTGAAGTTTAGTGCACATTTTACCAAAACGTGATTGTATCCTGGCTAAAGTTGCTGGAGTTCCTATATAAACACAGTAAGAGCATCTGCTTCTGCAGCTGGAATTTTGGTGATGTGTGCTTCTCTGGCCAACCTGAGAACCCATCCCTCAACAAAGACAGTGGTTTCCATGGAAACCTGCAATCTGTGACTTGAATATCCAGGTCAGAAGTTTGCTATTTTATCTGCTTCACTGTGTGGGTCATTTGAGGATTGCTAATATTAGCTAAAAGTTGGGATTACCTTCAACCAGATTACCTGTTGTGGCAGCAGTGACCATGTGGAACTTTCTATTCTAAGGAGATAGTGTTTGGATTTTTTTTGGTAAACCAAGACCAATAAGGAAATCCTTCTCTCCAGCAAATCATTCATGTCATTTTCTTTTCATCTCTGAACTCTTGCAGGGCGAGCCCTGCTGAGACTCACAGACAAAAAGCTGGAGCGCATGGGGATCGCCCAGGAGAACCTCCGACAGCACATCTTGCAACAGGTGCTCCAGCTGAAGGTGCGAGAGGAGGTCAGAAACCTGCAGTTACTCACACAAGGTACCCTGTGGCTTCTCGGTGGGGAGATGGAAAGAGAGGGGAGAATGGAAGCCTCAGCATTCTGATGAGGAGTGTTGCTTCTTTCCAAAGTTTCCTTCATTAAAAATATGTATGTATGGATATGTTTAGAGACCAACTACCTCCAAAAGCTTTTCTTTTTCATAGCTCACTTGAGGAAGAGATACATATGTAAGTAACAAATAAACAGACAGCAGTATAGGAGCTAACTTCACGATTGCCACGTGCAGCTGTGTAGAGTGGGCATCGCACAGCTTCCGAGGGTACCAGTGACACAGGTCAGGGTTTGACTGCACCCTCGGGAGCCGTGCTGTGTGCAGCCGCACCACTGCAGACATCCTTGATTCTTTATCTCTCTGCTGATTTGGGGAGGGCTTTGCAATTAGCATGATTTCATAGCCAATAGATTCAGTAGTAGAGGTGGACATTTTACTGTGTTTTGCTTTACTTTGCTGTTTCATTGGTTAGTAGAAAATATATTTTAAGTATGTCTTTATTTAAATGAATTTATACACACACCTAGTTCAGAGATTGTTAAGAACCCTGTTTAACTTCTTGAAGAGAGAATGGTTTAAAAATATAGGCTATAGAGAATTTAAAGGTGGACTGTTAAGAACATAGAACTCTTAAAAGAAATCATTAATAACTCCCGTATGTTGAGAACACTTAAGGTCTTTATAGCTATGGAAGTGACAGACAGAAAGCTAAAATCTCAAGAAACCGTCACACCATAACTTACACATTTATACAAGACTTGGCTGCTGTTAACCTCCATTGGCTGTAACTTTAATATTTTCTTTTGATGCCCATTTTGTATCATTTTAAATGAAAGGATGATAAAATATGTGTTTTTGAGAGCCTTGGGTATCTTTCAGTGTGCAGAATATTGTAATTGCATGCATACTGTTATTGGATAAATCTGGGCCAGCCGAGTTTCATGTTATTGCATTTAGATTAACCCAGTAATAGTCCATTTGCCTGGAGGAAATGATGCACTGCCGGAGAGGTGACTGCTCTGGAAGGATAAATATAGACCGCAAGCGATATGAAAATAGTATTGTTTGTTTGGTGTGTGTTATTTGAATTTTGTCCCCAGAGACTCGTGATGGCAAGTTTACAGGTGCTGGTCCTCCGAGTGGTTTAAATGTGAATTTCTGTGCTGATCCTATTGGAGGTTTCTGTTAACAAGAAAACAGAGATAAGAAGATATATAACAATCAGTTCATCAGAATGCTGTTTATAAAATGGAAAAGTAGAAATAATGTAGAGTTTTGGCAGAATGGAAAGGATCAAATAATTCTGCTTAGATTCACAAAATACAACATACTATAGGCATTAAAGTTACATTCACAAAGAATGTATAAAAGGAGAAAGCACTCAGGAAATGAGGAGGAAGCCATTGAGAAGCTTTGGCGATACTCTGACCCCTGTATATATTTATATGTCGTATTCTTTGTGTAGAAGGGCGGCAAGTGAATGTGCAGCTATTTTATGATGTGTTTTATGGGGGTACAGGACTGTGGGTGATCTTAATTGTTTTGTTTATATTTTCCTATGTTTTCCAAATCTCCCGCTATAAATCTATGTGATGGTTATAATCAGAAAATGCCTCCTTGTGTATAAGCATCCACCACAGCTGTGTTCTCCCCGGCTCTGTGTGGTGTCTGAGCCCTGACGCTCTGTTTTCTTCCCGTGCTGACAAATCTATGGAAGGAGCCCTGGCCCGCGGGGTGCACACTTGCCCCACGGCTTTCCGCCTCTGGAGTGTTGGCTTCACAAGTTCGTTTTCTATGGCCTTCACTGCCCTAGATGCATGGATAGGAGATTCTTCCCGAGCTAGTACACACTCAGACCTAATAAGCTAAATGTGTATTTGCGTCCTAAGAAGGGAACGCTAAGTTCAGTCTTCCTAATTCGTTTGTCATTTTCTGCAGCTTTAGAAACTGCATTTTGCCTTCCTTCATTGCACTCCCTGTACGAGGATCATTGTTTAGCTCTTGGATATTTCATCTTCAGCCATGTTACCTCTCATACTGCTTGTATTTTGCATGTTAATGCTCAAACTCATTTTATGTTAGGCCTCTTTCGGAAAACTCATAGCCCTACTGAAGTGATAGTTTCAGAAAATACAGACAACAAAATAAAATTGACAGGTTGTTTCTGATGTTCTAAAGACAGCTTAGGAAGCTGTAGAATACTTTAAAATATTGATTTGGGGTCTAGGTTTACTGTAATAAGAGTGGGGATTCCATTCCACTCAAGGGAGATTGATCGATCGGTCAATCGATCAGTCTGTCTATCTATCTGTGTGTCTCAAAGGCTTACCACCACTGATCTAGTCCATTCCTGCTGTTGTGTTCAAATACATGAATTAGGTGGATTATGAACCAGAAGCACTGCTTTCTCTGACTTCTGGAGGCAAGCAGGCCAAGACAAGGGCCCTGGCAGACCCGGTGGCCAGTAGGAGTCCACTTTCCCATGGGCCTGCTTCTCCTTGGCTCACACAGTGGAAGCAGGGAGGAAGTAGGGGACCTGAAGTAGCAGGTCACTGATCCCATTCTTTCAGGCACCACCCTCATGCCCTGACCCCTAACAAAGGCTGCATCACCTCATAACCTCACCTTGGGGGAAGGATTTCACCTGTAGCTTTGGAGGCAAAACACATTCCGTCCATGGCATTGGAATTTAATGATTTTAACCAGCACATTTAAAAGGAGGTTATCATAGTCAAAGTCATCCATGTTGGGTGAAAGAGTTATTTTTAAAATAACTGGATGTGTTAGGAGTTTCCTTCCTGCCTTGGAAGTCATTTCTAAATATAGGTTGTTGGGAAGGATTTAAATGGCCGTCTTTTGGGGAACCACTGAGGAGGACTCATCTAGGCCTGGGAGTTCTCTGAGGCTGCACCCACGGGAATGAGCACACTAACGTGAGAGGGGTGTCTCTGAGAAGTGAAGAAAGCAAACTGAAGAACAATACATATAACATGCAGTGTTTGCTAAAGACAGAGAAATGACGGTATGTGTCTGTGTGTGTTTTGTTTATATAAGGAAATTCAGAAAGTTGCACATGAAGCTAAACCAAGCTGCACCTGGGGCAGGAGAGAAGGCGGACAGAGAGAGGATGGACATCCCACGTGTCTCTCTGTGTTGTGAAACATGAGTGTGTTAACTATTTAAAAGAATAAAAATGTTAAAAACAAACACGAAGAAGAAAGACTGAATTTTAACACCAGATAGGCTAGAATTGTACATTCTGGCCCTAACATGCATTGTGTTGTTACTTCAGGGAGATTACTTAATCTGTCTCTGTCCTAACTTTCTAATCTCTGAGATGGAGATCAATATTTCTGTTCCACGAGTAGAGATGAATGAGAATTTAAGGAGCTAAAATATACATATCAATCAGTGCAGAGTGACAGTGACACATAATATACTTAGCTATGTGAATCACGTATTCAAATCAAACTCATTAATTTATAACAAGCCTATCTTTAGCATCTCTATTGAGATATGGTCACATGCACATAATTGAATCATTGAATGTGTACAATTCAATGATTTTTACTATGTTTACAATTTTGCAACTAATCCAGTAATTAATTTTAAAACATTTCGTCAAGAAGAAACCCCATGTTATTAACAGCCCCCATGTCCTTCCAAGACCTCCAACCAACCCTTCCTTGAGAGGTTAAATCTTTTCTGTTGTTTCCTATGAATGTAACCCTACAGCATATAACCTTTTGTGATAGGCTTTCACCTGTGATGTCTTCAAGGCTTGCCCATGATGTAAATGTCAGTACCTGACTTCTGTTTGTTGCTGAATATCCATTTTTTGCGTACACCATATTTTATTAATGCATTTAGATTGTCTCTAAAATTTGACCATTACTGGTAATGCCGCTTTGAACATTCATGTGCACATTTCTGTGTGAATGCATTGGGATTTCTCTAGGCATGGGCCTAGGAGGGGAATTGCTGCTGCATAGAGTAAGTCCGTGGCTAACGAAGCTGGAGAGACTTCCTGTCACGCTCCCACCAGCAGAGCTGGGAGAGTTCCCATCCCTCCACACCTTCACCAGTTCATGCTGTTGCCTGTCATAAAGCCATCTTGGTACATGTGAAATATTTCAGGGTGGTTTTGATTTGTTTTACTCTTGTGGCTAATAGTACCTCTTCATGTATATACTGGAGATTGTTTTGGTTTATCTTCTTTACGAAAAATGTCTAAGTCAGATCTTTTGCTCATTTTTAATAGGAGTATTAATTAAACTTTATTTCAGTTTAGTTACTGCCTGGGAGTTGAACCCCTTAGCCATGTTATGTGAGTCCTTTACCACTCAGCCACACCTCCAAACCCTGAGCTATTTTTTATGTATCCTGTTCATATTTTTGAGATGGGTTCTTGCTGTTCCCAGGCCACACTGGCACTCATGAGTCTCCCACTTTAGCTTCATGAGTAACAAAGATTACAGGTGTCCACCACAATAGGGGGGGGGGGAGCCTTATTTACCATGCCCAATTACTTGCCTTATTTACAAGAGTTAAATATTTTGTTGCTGTTTCCAAAGAAGAAACCCACCTGCTAAGGATGAAATCTTGCTCCTTTGAAGACACTCAAAAGAACCTGCCTCAAATTTAAATATCAATGACAAAGTGAAGCAACTGAATATACTCTAAAGATTCTCTAGGAAGCAGCTTCCTTTTGGGTGTAGAAATTATAAACACACACATTAAATCGTATGCAACTGCAAGCTCGTTCTGTAGTATTGTAGGGGAAATAATATAATCGAGAATTAATCCTATTTTTCCATGATCTGTTGCTATTTTAAAACTCATCTGAAGTTTTTTATTCCGCACCAGTGTTTGCAGAGTTGGCTGGGAGCCTTATGACGAGGCCAGGATGGCCACAAATGAACTAAAGAATTCCACCAAGCCACTGTGGGTCACCTGAATAGGAAAAATGAATTCTTTGCTTCCCTTCCTCTTACATTCTTCCTTCTGGATACTAATACAAGTAACAAAAATTGTAAGGCATTTTAGCATGTTTGCATGGTGACTGCACATTAAATCTCTCAGCTAGGAGTCGCCATCAGTGACTCATCACAAAAACTCCAGACATTTCATCCTGTCCTTCAGCTGCAGTCTTTTCCTCTGACTCCTCCCCTGTGTTATTCACAGTGGCCCTGAAACTATCAGACGTTTACAAGCAGTATAGTCAGTGTCTGGTCTTGCTTTCATGCCATCCTCTTAATGCCTGTAAGGTGATTCCTGGTAGCCTTGTGGTCTCTGATGTCCTGTTCATGGAGCAGCCAGAACTTTAATCTGTCAGACTCCCTTGATGGCATCTTTCTCCTGGAAAGTCAGCCGGGTCAGGATACCTCAAGTTGTCTCTTGGGAAACAGTGTGAAATTGGAAATCATTTGTTATACTCTCCTTCTACTAGATTCATGAGAGATGGGGAAAAGTGCTTTATATAATACACAGCAGTTGTGCATATTGCTTTTGGAACCCTTTAGATGAACCCACAATCAAGTATCTAAGGGGTATTCTTAGCATTTTCGTGATGGACATTATTTCTAGGAAGAAAGACTCCCAGGCACACTAGCCTCACTGCTCTTCATATAGCTAATGAGCAGTAAATGTTTGCTGTTTGCAAAGCGTGCACTAATGACCACTTCTGGCATTTTCTCTACCATGGCCAGTCCTCTTTGTTAGCCCCAGTGTACATACAGGGAAAGATAAAGACAGAACACCCAAATAGAATACCCAAATCCAGAAAACTGAGAAAAACACAGGTCTGTCTGCATTTAGCAAGCCTTTATCTGCTTAACTTCACTGCCTGTGGTCTCTCCAATGAGATAATAATTTCCCTCTTGGAGTGATGATTAAATGAGATCTTATGTGGATATCCTGTTCCACAGGTCATGGCTTTTGAACTGGTCTAGGTGCTGGCAAACTTTTCTTTGTGAAGGGCAAGACAGTATTTTAATCTTTGTTGACCATGTAGTGTCTGTTCACCCACTCCACTGTATAAAAGCAACCATAGGAGATACTTAACTAGATATGGCTGTGTTTCAATAAAACTTTATTAACAAAATAGTTGCTGGTACACACAGAAGGTCACACTAACCAGAATGAAAAATTGTTACAATGTTAATATCTAGAATATGTAAGGAACTTGTGCAGCCCAATAAAAACAAACTTTTTTTGGTACTGGGGATTGAACGCATGATATTGTGCTTGCCAGGCAGGCACTTTGCCGTTGAGTTAAATCCCCGACTCTCTAAACAACCAGCTTTTAAAATGGACCGTGGAACATGAGTATGTAATTCCCCAAAGAAGCTATATGGCCAACAACCATCAAAAAAGATGTTGATCACTAATCATTAGAGAAATGCAAATCAAATGAGATATTATTTTGCACCCGTTAGGATGGCCACTATCAAAAGAAAATAATAAGTTTTGACAAGAATGTAGAGGAGTCATATCCCTCCTGCACTGTTAGTGGGTCCATAAAATTTTATGACCATTATAAAAAAAAAACACTGTGTAAGTTGCCAGATAATTAAAAATAGAAAATTACCATATGACCCAGCAATCTCATTGGTGGATATATATCCAAAAAAATTTAAAAGAGGATATTAAAGGAGCATTTGTACACCTATATTCATTGTAGCATTCACAATAACCAAGAGATTAAAACAGCACAAATGCTCACTGAGGAAGAAATGGAGAAAATGTTGTATATAGATGCCCTAGAAGACTTCTCAGCATTTACAGAAAGGAGATCTGTTCACATTGTACTGCATGGATTGGCCTTAATGAAATAAACCAATCACAAAAGGACGAGATTCTTCTCATATAAAGTATCTCAGGTAGTCAAAATCATAGTATAAAGAGGAAAAAGGCTGTGGGGAGGAAGAATTAGTGTGTACAGGTATAAAGTTTCAGGTTTACAAGATGAACGTTATGGAGATCTGTTACGTAATTTCAACACACTGTATTAGTGCTGAACTACACACTTAAAATAGTTAAAAGGGAAATCTAATGTTAGTGGAGTTTTTTTGCTACAGTAAAAATAAGCCATAGCTAGTGAACTCATACTGTACAAAGTCAAAACTGTAAGCTTTGGACATCCTCATCTAGATTACTCTTTTCATTCATGGAATTTTCCATTTTGGGATAAAGATCCCTCAATTCCAAGGGCTGTCTAGTAGAGCCCCACTTCTAGGACATCCCTTTCTGTGACTTTCTTAACTACAAATATATGCATACTGTAAGGATGGATCAGCAGCTATGAACTTTGGCTGAATGCAGCAGTGGAAACCCGCATTCCTACGGGAAGATCGGGCAGATAGTGATAGTAATTGCCGCCATCTTTAAGTGCCTTCGTCAACCAGTGCCTACAGAATGCAAAAAGAGCATGATATTTACCAGGGCCAGTTTTGGCTCATTAAACATTAGTATTTCCCTAAGGACTTTTTCTACATTGTCCAAATATATGTGTCAAAATTTAGTTGGGAATTGCATGGCCAGATGGACTCTACAAAGTTCCATCTTTTGCGGTGAGAAAAATTAGAAACACTACATTCTAATCCAAGAAGAACTTTCCAGAACTATGTGTACCAGCTGAGTATTTTAGTCCCGTCACCTCCACAGTGATGCTTCAGCAGCCAAAACGGGCTGTCTGAACTGAAGTAGGCCATCTGGTCCACCACCTTGCTTAAGAACTCTTTGTAGAACAGAGCTATAACCTCTTGAGAAATTGTACAATTGCATTTTGCAGGCTCGAGCACCAGGACTCAGAATGAGAGATTCCAAGTGGTTACACAGCAGTTAGTGGTACAACTGAAACTAGATCCTGTTTCTCCCAGTTACCACCCCTTTAATTTTTGTCCCATTGCTTTTGTTAAGGTGTAATTCACACAGTAAAGTTCACCATTTTTAGTGCAGCATTCTGCAAGGACCGACATATGCACACGTTTGTGTAGCTATTGCTATGGTCAAGATTAAACCAAAATTCCCAGCACTAAGAAATTCTCCTCCAGTGCCCATTCTTGTCAGCCTCTCCTGTTCCACAAGACCCTGACAACCACCGATATTTCCTGTCTGTACAGTTTTGCCTTTCCTAGAATGTAATGGAAGCGGGATTGTAGCATCTGATTTCCTCCCTGAATTGCACCGCGCCTTAGGCTGAGCGTATGTCATTCTCCTGCTCACTTTCATCAAAAGTATTCAGTTGGATGTACGACCACAGCCTGATTCCCCAGCTGAGGGACATTTGAGTCGTCTGCAGTTTTGTAGAACACCAATAACACTGCTGTAAGCATTCACATAAAGGTTCTTGTATAAACAGTGGTTTTCATTGTTGGGTATCTAGAAGTGAAATTGCTGTTTTGTATCATAAATATATGTTTTAGCTCATAAGAAACTGCCAGGTCAGTATTCTTAAAATAATAAAAGCAGAGTAATGGGACTGGGGACTGACTATACTACCCATAAAAGTATCGGAAATTTTTCTGGAATATTGCTGCTGCTGTGTGGAAGTCCTGCCTGTCTCTTCCTGAAGGAATTCATCTTCAGAGGCCCTGATCTGCCGCCTGTCTCTTGTACACCATTTCAGAAGTTCGAGTTCAAACACGTCTACTGTGAACTTGTTTAATAAAAATTTTCTCGTCTTCCATATATCAGGTAATACGCTACGTGTGTCTCCCCCCACTTGTCACTGAGATGCTTCCTCGGTCTCTGTTCTAAGGAAGAAAACCTTGTAGCCTTCCCCAGTCCTGTGGCAGGATGCATGTTAGACTGCGGTGCACCCGTGAATCTTGTCTTGCGGCCAGATTTTCCAGACTCTCAGGATGGGCTGTTTGCAAGTCCAGGCTCTTCTGGGCCTTTTCACCTGCCGCCGTGCCGGCGTTAAAGCCTGATGTTCGTGGGTCCGTGTGCTCCTTTCTCACTCCTCTGCCGTCTCACTGCAGAGAGCTGAGCTCTTCCTGGTGCTCACTTGTTCTCACGTACCTCAAAATAACTCTCTGGGCTCCTCTTCTCTTTCTAATGGCTCTTCCTCAGGCTAGTGGCTCACCGCCTGCCTCCACTGCTTGCCAGTGTGGGTTGCTCCTGGAAATCGCTCCTCTAGGTTTTTCTCCTGGAGTGTGCTCTGTGGAAAACCCACTCCGGTACTTTATGCCTCTCCTACTTCTTACCGACTCTCAGATTCATACCTTAGATCTCCTTGAAACTTTGTATCCTTCAGTCACTCTCCCTAGAAAACGTGACAGCCTGGATAGTCTACTGACATCGCAGGTGTAACAAATCAGAATTTAACTGCAATGTCCTTCCTCCCATCTCCCGTGGGATTCCTCTCAAAGTTACAACTCCCATGATGCACTCCTTAACCTGATTCAGAACATGATTCAGTCACCAGAAAGGACTTTTCCTCAAAACAGCATGGATCAGTGGCAAAATGCTCTGCATTCTCCTTCTGGAATGGGTTTGCAGCCTCTTTCTGGCTCCTTCGCTGCTGGATTAACTTACCTCGGTTAGTGTCTTCCCAGGCCACCCGGATGACCTGCCGGCTCTCATCTGGGCCCCTGTCCGCCTTGCTCCTTCAGTTATCCGGCTACTTCTATTGCCATGATTAATTTAAATGTATTTCTGATGACATTATTTCTATCTTTAGAACACTTGGTGGCTTCCAGTTGGCCACAGAGTAAAACCCGAACTTCTCAGCATCTGGCAGGATATTCTAAATGTTTCATAGATGTATTAACTTTGAGCACATTGCTTGCCAGACATTGTGATAGTGCAGTTGTAGAAATGGGGATAGGGTCTGTTTCACAGTGTTATCAGGATTATGAGATAATAAAGCTCATGGCAGGATTTGGCCTCCATGAGACCCCACTTCTTCTGAGAAACCCTGCCTTGATTCTCAGGCTGAAACTCTCATTCTCCTCTCTGCATTACTAAGTGCATTGTTCAGACTAATAATGCAATGTTCCTCATTCGGTGTCCGGTTGTTGAGCTCAGGCGCTGTGGTAGCCACGAGGGACAGAAAGGAGCACCTAATGTAGCAGTGAGTCTCCAGTGGCGTGCATCATGCCAGAGACAGGCAGCTGTGTCCTGAGCGCACAGGATTGGAGCTTAGCTTCACCAGGAATTGGCGGGATAAGGAAGACCTGCCAGAGGTGTGACATGGGCACTGGTTCTTAAAGCATAAACGATTTGACAAGGACACAGAGGCTGGTGTGAGGCAGCAGAGGAGTGGCACCATAGTCTTCATGTCTCCCCGCCAAGATATTAGCAGTCCTAGGGGTGTTCTGCCACTGCTTTGCACTGCCACCACCTAGTATGTCCTATACGGCAAAAAAGTGGATTCTCTGTGTGGTTTTGCTGATTTAAATTGAATGATTATACTTTTCTTTCATTTTCTATCTCTTATTTCATTTTCTGCTTAATCTCATTGCAGTAAATGCAATATCAATTCTGCTGTGAGTTTGTAATAAGAAGTAAGAGTTGCTACAAAAACATTTGGGATAGTTTTCTCCATGGGCAGTATCATCCAGCTTCTCTTCTATATTTTTATTTCTTCTCCCCCTCCTGCTCTGCCTACTCCTCCTTCATAGAACCTTCTTTATTCCCTCGTGGTCTTTTGTACTGACCGTTAGAGACAAGGGCAAGGGCTCCTCCATATATAAGCCACCACCCCTTCTGTTGCCTTTTTGGTCCTTACGTGTTCCCCTGGGTGACACTGTCAAGTGATTGCAGAGTGAACCTTTTCCCCTACAACCCAATTAATTGCCCAACAGCTTATGGTGGATAAAGATGTTAGATGAGATATCTTAGGGATTTAGTGCAGATTTTTCTGTGTTCGTGGGGTCATTCATTACTTCATTCACTGTCATTTGATTATGATCTGCCAACCATGTGTCCCCTCCCAATTTCTTCCAAGATAGCACTTACAGCTACTTCCTCAGACTTTCCCCTGACAGGCTGAAGAGTCTTCAGACCTTGTTGTGCAAATCTTGTGGTAAGGAATATTTCTAATTTTATCAAATCTTTAAGCTGTCAGAGAAATTCTCCTTGGTGTGCACTCTATATATAGAAGCCTAAACACAAAATTCTTTTAAGGATTATGAAAATCAGGTGACACTTTACCATTCGGGCTTAGAGTCATGATATGAGTACTCTAGTTAGCATCCTCTCATTTCATTTTTATTCCAGGTTCATGCTGGCCAGTTCATTCCAGGAAGGTGTGTTTGCAGTGAGGCGTGTTTGCAGTGAGGCTTGGAATTGACTCTTGCTTCTTGTCTGTTGGATTCTTTATGTTGGAAAAATGTTTGCCTATTCTAATGACCCTGAAAGTCTCTCTAGCTGGTATATGGGAGAAGTGTCCACATGCTATTTTTCTGATTTGGACTTGTTCTGTCAAGAGTTTTCATCATCATTAATAAGTGTTTTGTACCACTCTCCATGACGATGAGTGACTTGAGAATCTCAGACTCTAAATGCTTCTCTGCATCTGCAGAACTCACCAACTGCAAAAATTTTCACTATCAAACCCTTTGCATTTAAAGGACCTAGATGAAGCAATATATTTAGGACTCTTCTTGGAAACATTTAGGATGGTCATTTGGTGACACTGTTATATCATTTTGACCTTGTTGTTTGAGTAGATATTTGAAGAATCGGAGATAACTGATGCTGTACAGAAGGCTGATGCACAGCTTTTCCACAACTGACCTTAGACCTGTGATCTGCTCTCTGTGGTGGTCAGATGTCCAGTCGGCTTTGTGGAGAGGCAATTTTATGAAGACAGTGCCATGTAGCCTGGGTGAGAGGAAATCAAAAGTGTTTTCACGGATGTATTTCATGGATGCTGCTCTGTTCTAAGTAGAAATGAAGAAATGTACCATCAGTATGCTGTGGATATCTGTCCCATGTATGCTACCAAATGTATCTGTGCCTTATTCTTTGAGGCCACCAGCCTCAGGACATGACATAAAGGTTTATAGTTTGGAGGTGGTCAAGCTTTCCTCACATTGGTCTCTGTACACCAGTTCCAGAGAGCACCTCATGCATCGCTGCACTGAGAATAGGCACTGAGGTCGCAAGTCATTAGCACAGCCTTGTGCTCCAGTCAAGAGCAAATTCTGCTATCCTTTCAAATTTAACCCTACATTACTGGTATCCCCTTCTTGTATTTTTTCTTTTTGATAGTAGCAATACACAGTCACTCAGTAATTTATTCACAAACTGTATTAAGAACCTACTGTGTGCCAAGCACTTGCCATATGTCAGGGATTGTATAGGGATGCCAGTAATAGTTACTCCCTCAAATTCACCTGGAGAAGATGTATGTGTAAAATGTGACAGCACAGAGAGTTATGCAGCGTGACAGTGGTTCGTGAAGGTGTCTGTAGGATCATGTAAGGTGGGTGGGGTATCTCATGCAGAGGAGAAAGATTGGAAGGATTCAGGAAAAGGGCACCTTGAACCAAGCCAGGGATTACAGTTGTCAGGGTGTTTATTTTCTCTTTTTTCATCAAACCAATGTGATTGTTGAGGTGCTGAGAACTTGCGAGATAACACTACTGTTATGGTGTCTAGATGACCCCTATAGCCTCCTGTGGTCATCGGGGGAGACTTTCAGAGGAGGCTGAATCTAGTGTTTGCAACTGATTCCTGGTCAGTGCTGGGATTATGGGTGTGAGTGCTACACCTGCCCTAGGGTGGGCAGCCTACATACAACATAAGGGTCTGAAAGAGTCTAGTCTCTTGTTACTCTTGATGTCTTCCACCACCATGAACTGTTGACCCCCTGCCATGTGTCACCCTGTCTTGGAGCCAACCAATTATGAACTGAAACCTCTACAAACTATGAGCTTTATTGAATAAACCCTTCCTCCTTTAATTTTGGGTGTCAAGTCTTTTGTCTCAGCCATGAAAGAAAAGTAAGACAATGATTATATATTTACTGTAAAACTATGTATTTGGAGTGTTTTCCATATGACAGAACTTTCCTGGGTTTAGTAAAGTATAGTAAACTTGACAGGAATGGCTCCCATGTACACAGGTCTTACATTTTAATGGGAAGGTACTAATCAATGAGAAATCATACCAGTGAGGTAAGGGAAGTGGAAGGGGACAAGAATTATCCTTTGGGGAGCAAGTAAGAAAAGGGTCTTTCTTAGCTCCAACAGTTGAGGAAAAGCTGAGCTCTAAAACAGGAAGGTGAGTTAGCGGAGAACACAGTGCTTGTCCCAAGTGGAAGGAGTGGTCCACTGTGAGCCTGTGTTAGGGTTCTGTGGAGAAATAGAACCAGCAGGCCAAGGTATAAACATATGAGAGAGAGTTGGCAGGGAATTGGTTCACATGATATTGGAGACCTACAAGTTCCCATCTGCTAGATGAAGGAACCTGGAAAAGTAGTGGTGTCATCTAGTCCAACTTCAAAACTAAGAGTAGAAGGCTTTGGAGTAAGTTCCATTGTCCAAGAGCAGAAGGAGTCAGCAGTTGCAGCTCAAGAAGAGAGAATTTGCCCTTCTTCCATGTATTTTCTTGTATACTGGCTCTCATTGGATTGAATGATGCCCTTCTGCACAGGTAGATTCTCTTTACTCAGCCTGATAACTGAAATGCTCATCTCTCCTGGAGACACCTGGGCACATATACAGGGAATGTCGTAGCTGTTAACTGGGCATCCCTTGGCCTAGTCAGGTTGGCACCTATGCCACCACAGAGGCCGAGGTTGAAGGGGATGTTTCATGCATTCCAGAACTGTGAAGAAGACTACTACAGTTAGAAGCTCAGGAGTGAGTCAGGAAGGAGGAGAGATCACAGAAAGTGAAGCTGGAAAGGTAGAGAAGGAGCCATGTGATAAAGTGAAGGCTATGGGAAACTACTAAGGGGTTCTGAACCCAACTGGCCCAGTGAGATTTACATAACACAGTATGGGAGGATGCACAAAGAAGGGAGACAGGAGGCCCAGCGTCTGGTTGGGAGGCCCAGCATCTGGTTAGGAGGCCATGGCATGCGTCTGTGCCAGAGATTGTGGGAGCCCGGGTGAAGGTAGCAGCAAATGAGGAAGAAGAGAACTCAGCTCAGGGGACCAAGCAGCCCGTGGTGACAGATTGGGAAACAGCACAAACACGCCTTGAAAATATCATCCTCGTTCCTCTTGTGTATTCTCCTCCCCCAGAAGGACGCACAGCAATTCTTTGAAATGCAGATACCCAGGCTTTACCCAAACCTGCTGAATTAGACTCTCAGGCACAGGCAGCATTACCACCAATGAGTCCTAAGCACAAGAATGCTTGAGGCGACTGCCTGGCCCTATACCGATGAGAGCACGTAGACATCCTGGGGCACATCGTTCATCCTTTAATGCTATCCCATGATGACATCCTCGGGCCGTCATGAGATTGCTTCTCATATCCAGCTGAATTCAGCGGTGGGCATAAGCCCTTTGGGGTATACAAAGATACCCCACCCCAAAAGCCCAAACCAGCGTAGAGCCATCTAACATTGAACATAGCAGGATATGTCCCCAAGATCTAAGAAAACCCCTGAGGGATAATTTGAAATCTCACCTCGTATTTCCCCAGAAAAAGCTGAGACAAGTTCTTTTGAGAAGCCCCATAGGATACTAAGTACCATAAGTACTTTCTGCAGAGGTGCCACCATCACCTGGGCTACAAGGACAGAGTTGTCAGGGTAATGCATTACTCGAGCGAATATAGATGTGGAGAAGGACAGAAAGAAAGATGATTGCTTTAGATTTGTGAAGAACAGTGTGAATGTTCATATTTGAAACCATTGAAGTCTCTCAACGCTTAATTAGATATGGTTCTTTATTCTTGTACAATTCCACAGATCATCACATCTCTAGTTTATCACCAGATTGGTAGAGCTAATACTGATGGTGCATGTGTTTACACGTTTGACAGTTTGAATTCTATATTTAGCCCTCCCAACAATTTTGCAAAATAAGTGTCATTGAACCCCATTCTATAGGTAATCTGGACAGTGCTTGTCCAGGGTTACACAGCTAAAAAAGAAAATTATGTTAGGGTTCTCCAGAGAAATAGAGTGTGTATGATGCACACCACAGAGAGAGAAAGACAGAGACAGAGACGCAGAGAGAGACAGACAGACGAACAGGGATTTGTCAGTTGTTAAAAAATCATCTCACACAAAATATACAGCAGGGAAGCTGGAAACTCTGGGAAACCAAGGATGTAATTCCATTTCAAGTTCAAAGGCTCAGGATAGCAGAGGGTGTAAGTTCAAACCAAGAGCTGGCAGGTTCGAACCCCAGGATGTGTGCGTTTGGGTCAGTACAGATCCAAAGGCAGGAAAAAGCCTGTGTCCCAGGACCAGGCAGACCAGGAAGAGTTGCCTCTGGCTTCTGGGCAGGTCAGCACACCAGATGGAGCCCACCCACACGGGGTGGGGTCTTCTGTTTTGTTCTTCCTGAAAGACAGATGTTAAGTTCATTACTTAAACCCCCTCACAGCTATACCTGCAGTAATGTTAGACCAAATATCTGGGCGCTCACGCCCAGTCAAGTTAACACATAAAATCCAACAGCAGTGGATAAGATGACTTGTTATCTCTAAATTAATTCTCAGATCTACCCTAAAGTACCCCACTCTGAAGTATCTCTTGTTTCAGAGATACGGGTTTTTCTTTTACAAATAAAGTATTAGTTGTGATTCACTTTTAAAAATTAATACTTGAGCCTATTCAAATAAAAAATGTCTTTTAACAGCTTATTTATTACTTACATAATTGTCACTCTTCACCTTCCATTTTCTATTATTTTAGCTGCTAGGAATGGTTGGCATATAGATTTTTTTTTTTTTTTTTTTTAGCATATAGATTTTTTTCCTGCATCCCAGAGGTTTGGGGGATAGTAAGAAATCAGATTTGTGTAACTCACAACGTGACCTCATGATGAAACACAGAAGCCACCCTCAAATTTCATGATGCCCCTGATATCCTGAATAATCTTAGTCTTGTTAGATCAATGACATGAAATTTTTGCTGGCTGCCATTTTAATTGATTTAATGAAATTGATCCAGCATAAATGAGAGCACTGAAAATTGTTAACAGTGACCTTAAGGGTTTCAAGCGTCTGCTGTGTAAGAGGTGATGTGGCTTTGGTTTATATGCTTGAAAACCCTTTTCCAGCTGTGTTAGAGGAACAAAAATGGATATTATCACTATAAACTGTCTGGGTAGTACATGGAGGGGCTGAAAGTGTTTGAGAAGTGTTTGAGTGTTCTTCTCAGCTCAGCTCAGCTCATGTTGCTGATGCTGTGATTCATGAATACTGTAAACTGCGTAAATGGGCATTTATCCTTCTAAGAATCAGCAAATATGATTTTCCTTCTGTCGTTGATGTCCCTAAAATTCATACCACATCATGCCACACTACAGAAAGGATAAAGAAGTGAAATGATCTTATAAATTTGGTTGACTTAAAATTGTTTTGTATTTTTTCAAAAATTAATCCTATCCTGAGACTTGGATAATTATTTTCCTACACAAAGAGTTTTACTCTTAATACTCTGGATTTGACTTGTATTAAAGCACAAGTAAATAGTGTTTGGATTGTCTTCTCCTTTTGAAAGTTTAAATGTTGATCTTTCATTCTTTCTTTCTTCCTTTTCTCCCTGGCTTCTCTTCCCTTCTCTCCTGAGCCCCTCTTTCCGAATGTGCTCTTTTGCTGAAGAATCTCTCAGCCCGGGGAAGAGCTATTAGAAATTTATTAATTAAGAACCAGTTTCTGCTCCTTTGTCAGGGGTAATCATTTGTTTTAGAGCTGATTCTCTGCCTTAATTAAATGAAAATGTCAGTCCATCAAATGAATTCATTTATATTTATTTATCTAGTTCTCCAGGCTTGAATTTCTTAGTAGGGACTTAAGCTCATCACATTTGCTCACAGAATGAACTGAAAAAAATGTGTCTTACATCAGTTTAAAAGACTCAGAAGTGATTACAATGCCTGGAGGAAGCACTGCATAAACAGAGCTGTGACTCACAAATGTGTGAATGGTTTTTTCATGGAGCTGTTACCTGGTTATATCTTGGTTACTTTTCTTTCATTGCTGGAGCAAGATACCCAGCACCCAAAATGAAGGAAAGAAAGGTTTATTTAGCTCACTGTTTGTGGAGGTTTCAGGCCATAGTCAGGTGCCTTCAGGGCAGGTGGTGTGGCACTGGGACAACAGTTCAAGGCAGCAGCAAGAGCAAAAGAGGGGAACAAGCCTGTTCTCTCTTATGTTATACACAGGCCTACCTCAACCCTCCAGGTGGGGTGCAGCACTCACAAAATCTCTGTGCCCTCTTCTGGCCCAGGATGAGGATATTTACAAAGTAAGGATCCTTGTTCTCTGCTGAGTCTCTAAGTTAAACTTCTCAAATTGACACAATGTATTAACAGTAACAGGCTGTATATAAGGTATATATTTGGGTGTTTTTATGCACACATGTGTCTGTGTGTACTAGAGCAGGAAAGTGAACAATTCCCTTCACAATGATCTATTTGAACTTAAAGGGTCAAAGGTAATATGTTAACTACCTGTATGTTTGTATTTGCTTTTTCTAAATGCTAATTGATGGCACAAGGTTTAAATTTTACCCAGTTGTCATGGTTTCTATCTAGAAGTTCCCCTAAAGCTTCATACACTCCTAGGTGGGGTTTTGGGGGACTGGATCATGGGTATGTGCTACTGGATCATGGGTGTAGGGTAATGGATTACAGTTCACTGATTGATTTAGCAGAGTTTTGAGTACAGATAATGAACTAATAAGAGAAAAGAGCTAACTGAGGAATGGGTGACCCCAACCACTAGGCCGATAAGCTGGATGGAATAACAAAAGAGGAAGGCTCTGTTGCTTCCTGCCTGCCGTGTCATGAACTGTTCCCCCTCTGCCCTGCCATCCTGCCTTGGAGCCAGCTGACTATGGACTGAAGCCTCTACAAACTGTGAGCTAAATAAACTTTGCCTCTTTTAACTTGTGGGCACCAGCTATTTTGTTCCAGTAACAAGAAAGTAAGATACTATTTTCCCCACCAGTTTTAAAGAATTATTTATCATGGATAATCTGTACACCTACCATTGTAATAAGTGCTTTAACAGGTTAAAATGAAGTTTACATTTCTTCATTCAACAGCTGTTCCTGAGTACCCACTGTGTGTCTGGTGAAGTATTGGTAATCAGTCAGTCATGAATAATGCCTTCTGAATCGATGCCGTATGGAACAATGTATTAACAAGTGTCCATGCTACATCTGGTATAGAGTAGGTACATAACAAGCGGAATGAGAAATTACTGCATTACGGCATTAGTCACCTGAGATCCTCACAGGGAAATGGACAGGCATAAGGATCATACACTGGGAACTGGCCAAGCCAGAGAGGTGTCCAGGAGAAAAGGAACACTGGAACCAAGGTATCTGTGACAGCAAATATAAAAATCAGGAAGTGGTTAGTGTGAGGCAGGGGTGGGGAGCTGTGCCAAAGCTAGATTTCCGCAACTGTTAGTTGTCGTTGAAGACATGCCACAATCCTGGACACCCGAGGCCGAGCCTCAAGTAGAAGGGTGACCTGATTAGGTTTTATTTTGAGATGATAGCTCTTGATTGCTCTATCAGGAATATAGAATAGACTGGGGAGAGGAAGCTCATATTGTTTTTCTGTGCCAACCTTCACAAATCATCACAAATGTGTTGCCTTACGGTTCTAGAGGTCATAATTCTGAAATGAGTTTCCTTGAGCCACACTCAAGATATTAAGAAAGCAGTGTTGGCTCAGGGAGCTCAAGAGAGAATCTGTGTCATTGCTGACCCCAGGGAGAGTGTGGTGGCTGGTGGTGGCCTTCATCCTCCATCTTCTAAGTTTCTGGTACCAAATTCTGTCTTGCTTACTTTTCTCTTGTTTCTGAGACAGAATATCCACTGTTCAAAATTAAGGAAGGAAAGGTTTATTTAGCTCACAGTTTACAGAGGGTTTGGTCCATAATCATCTGGCTCCTAGGCAGGATGGCATAGCACAGGGGCAACACTTCAAGGCAGCAGAAGACAGAAAAATCAACAGGAGCACAGAGGGGAGAGCAAGCCTCTTTTCCTCCGGTATAGTGTATGCAGACTACCTGCCCTAGGGTGGGTCCTTTACACCTGCACCATCTCTGTGCCTCCTCTTGCACAGGCTCACGATGTTTATAAAGTCAGAGCCCTGGCCCCTGCTGAATCACTTAGTTAAACTTCCAGACTTCGCCAGTTGACACAGTGGACCAACCATTACAGCAGTTCATGGCAGTATTATTGTTAAGGTAGAAATAACCCAAGTGCCTATTCACTGATGAATGCATAAACAGAAGCAGAGTGTAGCAGAATATTTACTAAGCCATTACAAGGAGTGAAATACAAGTACCCCTACCACATGAGCAAACCTTGAAACTCCTATGCTGAATAAAACAAGCTGGTGACAGAAGACCATGCGATATATCATTCCATTTGTACAAACCAGCAAATCCATAGAGACAGAAGAGTAGATCAGTGGTTGGCTGGGTTTGGGAGGTAGAGGGTTTGCCTATGGGATGACAGAAATGTTTTCTGGATAATGGTGATGATTGTGTGACCTTGTGAGCATACAAAAACCCATTGAAGTGTATACTTCAAAATTATTAAAATGGTGACTTTTACCTCAGTTAGGAAGTATAAGGCAAAATCTGTGAAATTTTAAAAGCTTGGTCACTGTGGTCAGCTCTGCATATTCTGTCTGCATAATAAATATGCCCTGTCCAGGGTCCCACCTGGAGGGTGGGCAGAGTTTATGCTTATGTGTGATTCTGTCCATGCACAAGGTCATGCTGTAAGGCAAAGAGGAAGTGATTTTGAATGTATGATGAGGGTCCCAGCCATTTGATTTTGGTTAATGAAAGGGGTGATCATCCTGGGTGGACCTGATGGAATGAGATCCCTTAAAAGAAGGACTCGGTCCTCCCTTACGTTAGAGATCTCCCTGGCTTTGAAGAAGTAGCTGACCATGTCTCAAGAAGGCTGCTTGGAGCTGCCGGCTGTCTCGCGAATGTGAGAGCTGCCTTCCGCCAACAGCCAGCAAGGAAACAGGGTCCCTCCTCCTGCAGACGCCAGGAGCTGGATGGAGCTGGTAGCAACTTGAATGAGCTCACAGGCGAGCTTTCCTCATTGAGGCTGCGTGTGTGACTACCGCTGACCACACTGGAACTGCAGCTGATGAGGAAGAGGACACAGGTCGGCACGGCAGAATATTGATGTCTCACAGACACTGTGCGATCACACACATGCGCTGTGATACGCTGCTAAGTGCTTAGTGACTGCCTGCCCGCCCAGCCTGGAAATGAGTGCACGCTCTTCCTCCTTCACATCGCTGTTCTTTATGCTGTACCACAGCGTGCCTTTGAGTTCACATGTGTGTGTGTGTGTGTGTGTGTGTGTGTGTGTGTGTGTGTGTGTGATGTCTGTGTGTCTCCTTCAGTGATCTGCAGATAAAAGTGGGCTGAAAGGGCTAGAAAGTTGAGCTTGCAATGGCTTAAGAAGTTGTTTCATAAAACGGGCACAACTTGAATCGTTCACTAAAGCTTCCTTTTGTCTTCTTCCGGGTATAATGAGAGCTGGGATTGTGATGGCCTGGCAACCTCGATTGTGAAAGGCATCATGCTGGCAGTCATTGGTCCCTTGGGTCAGTCTAGCATCGGGGTCAGGAACTGCCAGAACTTTTTCCTCTGCATCCTTAAAATAGCTTCTGGTAGATACTAAGAACTGTGACAGTAAAGATAATTGAAATAATTATTGCTGAGACTCCAGGAGACCCATTCTGTTCAAGCCCTGGGCTGAGAAAGAGTTGACTTCTGTGTCTCTCAATATGACACTGAGGTCATAGTCTCTGCTGGAAATCTCACTCCCCTGGTGGAGAAGATAAGGTGGCCGGTATCTCTGGAGCTGACCAGAAGAATGGCTTTCACCTGGGAAGTGCATCGCAGACCTTACTGGGAAATTCATTTAGTATTCAGTTGAATAAACAGTAATGCATTACTTGTTATGTTCTAGGTATGTACTCAGCCAAGGTAGCCCCTGCCTTCCACCATCCTTTAGCCCAGAGTATTCTAAAACTTTAGTCGCTTGATTTCTCTGCTCTTACTAGAATTGCTCCATAGACCCTTAGTCCAGAAGGCTGGGTGAGTAACAGCATTAGCAATAATCACAATCATTAACTATATGGTTATTATGCATCCACACTGGTCTAAGCACTGTCATTTGATCCTTATAAAACTGTAAGATAGGACCTACTATTACCTTTATTTTTCAGATCAAGAAATTGGGGCACAGAGAAGTTGGGAGATTTGAAAAATGTCACATGGTTTTAGAAGTGATTAAGGGTTCTATCCCAGTCACTCTCCAAGAGTCTGATGCTTGTCACGTTCATTGCTATAACTCTGGATACCCTAACCATAATATTTCACCACTGCTTTTTGCTAGATGCTAAAGTTATACCAGGGAAGACAGAATAAATAGTCCCTGTCCTAGCTGGCTTTAGAATCAGGTGGGAAAAGATACTGGTTTTCTAGGGCCACTGCAAGGAAATGCCATGGGCAGCTTAAACAACAGAAATTTATTTTCTCATTCTTTGAAGGCTGCTGGTCCTACATCAACATGTTGACAGAGTCGATTCCTTCTGATGCCTCTCTCCTTGGTGGCCTGTCGGTGGCTGACTTTGCCCTGGTTTTGCTGTGATTCTCCCTCTGTATATGTAGTCCTGTCCACTCATCTAATGAGCACAGAGTTGTACTGGGATGGCATCCCTTCTGGTGTGCTCATTTTGCTTAATTTCCCCATGAAACACTAAATATCATTGTATTGTAAGGTACTTTTGGTTAAGCCTTCAACATATGAATTTTTGATAAGAAATAAATCAGTCCATAACAGAGATAGTTGCTAAGAAAGAAAAAGAAAAATTACACACACACACACACACACTCTCTCTCTCTCTCTCTCTCTCTCTCTTTCTCTCTCTCTCTCTCTCTCTCTCTCATCGGTGGTGGTGACCCTATGGCATGTGTGCCCCAGCAGGCTGTCTGTATCACTGAAAGTGCTAACAGATTCACCATCGCTGATTTAGAGGCTCCTTGACTCACATTGCAGTTAGGCACCAGTAGAGCCATGATAAGTTGAAAACATTGTAAGTCAAAAATGCTTTTGTTCCACCTAACTTAATGAGTATCATGGAGCAGCAGATCTTTATACTGTATCAGCCTCGTGGAGACATGACTGACCAGCAACTGTGGTTCCTTGCAGCTACCCAACATCAGAAGGAAATAGGATAACATAGACCTAAAATAACAATGTGAAGTATATTCAAAGCAAAACATGAAAAGACATCATTGGTTGGGGACCATTTCTGTGTCTATGTCTGTGTCTGTGTGTCTCTGTCTCTGTCTCTCTATCTGTCTCTCTGGGGTGCTGGGTTGTTTACCAGTGGGGCTGGATGCTAAGAGATGTGTCATTAGCTGACTTGGGAGCTGTGTGAACCTCCCAGAGCAGTAGTGGCAAATCTGTGGCACAGGTGCTGCAGCAGGCTGTTCATGTCATTGAAAGCTCTTGGGTTGGGCATCGCTGTCATAGAGCGTATTTGCGCAAACTAAGATGGCGGCCTCACGGGGTGACACAGCCATATGGGCCCACCTCTGCATGGCCTGTCATTGACTGAGATGGCACCGTGAAGCACGTGACTGTGTGTACGTGATTTGACCTCATAACCTGCATCAGTTGACTGTGGCTACATTTTTTAAAAACTTGTTTGTATCTGTAACAGTGTTTTTCTTATTTCCATCCTCTGACACAGTCATACTCTCAATTTTCAAGTTTGTACCGTCTGGAACATCTCGCCAGCTGGCACTTTTTCTTAATATTCTGAGCTATATGTGCTCCCAGGTGAATTTATTCTGCTTTGGTCTCTACACCATTTATTTTTTTCAAGTAGCACCTAGTTTGACTCACAATGACAGAAAGAAAAAGCATACGAGGGATAGCTAAGCAAAACAAAATTACATAGTTATAAATGTTAGAATTGAGGTTTTATACAAACTCAGATTTTTTAGATAACAACTAAAGAAGGCCAAGATACAGATAAATAGACTAGTGAAAATTATCTGGACCTAATGAAAAGTCAGTATAAATTATCACGACTGTCTGAAGCCAGATAGATTTTTTTGTTTAAGTCTGTGGTAAGGGACCCGGGAGATGTTGCAGCACCTGAGACAGCTTTCACCCATGTCCAGCACAGGGAGCTGGCACCATAGGAGCTGTGATGTCCTGTCCAGCAGCAGCCTCCTTGATAGCACATCCCTTCCCAAAACCCTTCCTGCAGGAACCAAGGTGCACATGTAGACTGCTAAATGTTCAAAGCTGCGCAGCAAAAATGTGCAATGTGGGCCTTGGATTTAGCTCAGTCGTGTAAGCACCTGCCTGGCAAGCGCAGGGTCCTGAGTTCGATCCCCAGTACAACCAAAAAAAGAAAAAAAATGTGAAATGTAAAGAAGGGTTCTGGCTTAGACTGGGGAGTTAGTTACTCATGACCTGCAGTAAATTTTAAACAGAAAAAATAAGCATCAGCCTGCTGAGGAACAGGGAAAGGCAAGGGAAGGGAGGGAAGCATGCACCAACTACAAGGTACAGAGCTCAGCATTTTGTAGCAGCTGAGCAAAGGCCCTGTGGCCAGGACATAGGAATAGGCCAAGTTCCACCGAGCCTCACAACTTCATGAAGGACTTGGAATTGCATCTCAGGAAGTACAGTGGGGCCTGTTAGAGGATCTTTGAATTAATTTTATTTTATTTTAATTAATAAGTAATTATTGTGTGTATTTAGGGAGTTATGATCCATGCATGCATTGTACAAAATGAAATCAAGATAACTAGTTTCCTTGTGTGAGAACATATGGATTCTATTCTAACAGCAGCTTTGAAATTTACGTTATTACTAACTAGTTCCTATGCTGTGTAGTGGGTCACTAAGTCTTGCTCCTCCTGCCTAGCTGGATGTTCATACCCACTAACTAACATCTGCCTTTTTTATTTTAAGCAAGAAGGGAGAGGGGTCTCGTTTACATGTTAAAAGATTGTGTTGACCACTGTGTGTAGAATGAATTAGTTAAATATAGACTCGAACCAAGGACCAGTAGATTGTCCAGTTTTGCAGAAATCCAGGTGAGAACAGGTCATGATTAGCACTGTAGTAGTGGCCCTCACCTGACCCGGGATGGGTCTGTTTACAATTAGTCAAAAACACATGGAAACGGATCCAACGTGGAGGAAGAAGGAGACTCCAAAGTGAGTCCAGGGCCTGTCCTGAGACACACGACGCTGGAGGAACCTACAACCAGGAGGATGAGGCAGAGGGTTGACCTGGAAAGGAGGTCAGTTGTGGGTTGGCATGCTCGAGCAAGATGCCGGCGTGTGGAGCTCCAGGAAGGAGTCTGCACTGAAAACAGAAATTGGAGCCAGCAGAGTGGAGGTGTCAGTACGCTGTAGGAGTGGTGCAGACTCAGCCATCCAGCATTCCGGGGCCTTACATCAGATTCTGTTTTATGTAAAATAAGAGAACCAGAGGTGCAGACTCCGAGGGTCCTCGTTCACTGAGACTCAGGTTAGCCAGTGTACTGAGACACCAGTGTGAGTCTCTTCTGCTGAAACTGCATTCAGATGAGTATCTAAAGAGGCCTGAGAGAGTCAAGAACACGTGCTGTGTAAGAGACCTCAGAACGACATGGAGGAACCCAGCACTGCTTTTGCCAACTTTGAGCCAGCCTACCAGAGTGCCTCAGAAGATGAGTCCAGCCATCTGTGTAAGTTCTCATCCAAACTCTGTCCTCTCCTACCTGTCTAATCATAGGTAAATGGAGCATCCTCACAGACAATAAGCTCTCTCTGCTAAGAAATGCAAACAAAAATAGCTAGCTCACCCAATTGCTGTGAGGATTAAAAGAGATATTTTTTGCAAAGTGATTATTAGCACGGATCTCAATAAGTGCTAGATAATAAGTGGATCTGCCTCTAAGAACATACTCTTCCCAGAGATTATTGTAAGGATGAAACATACATTTAACAAGTCTGTTCCCGTGAATCACGCCCTGGGTTTTGGTTAAAATTCTGCTGTCGTCCCAAGCCAATGAAATGAGAGGAGACAGAGTGGTACATATGGCTTTATCACTTCCAATAAATTGCTCAGATACAGGTCAGTTTCTTTGCCAACCAGCATCACTATCAAAGGGGTACCAGTATCGAAAGACAGCTTTTCATGGCGAACAATTCCCAGGGGCAGCACAGAAGCATCTGTTTGCACCCTATGCATTTGGGCCTTTTCAGTGATTTCATTTGATCAGAACGTGTAGCTAGTTGCAAAGTTCCAAGTCTCAGATGAGTTCTGCCTAAGGACACAAGGCAGACATTTTGCAGGAGACAGGGTCCTCACAGTGTTGCTGTGGATCCAGGAGCATCTCCGTCCTCCCTCCCTCCAAGCCGCTCCATCTGTGCCCTCGCTACTGTTACTCAGGGCACCTCCTGTTTGGGTGTTCTGCTGAGAAATGCCCGTGGTCATTACCCAAATCTTTTTCTACTAAGTATCTCCTACGTGACCGGCACTGTTTTGGTTCAAAATGGAGAAAGCAAAATACTTTTTCCTGTTTTTTTTTTTTTTTAATTCTTCAAATATGATGTAACTGGAGAACAAAACCAGAATATTTATGATTTAACACGCATTTAAGCACTTTCTTTCCCTCTCATTTCCATAATATCTGTCGTACATTTTGAATCTCCTTATGCTTTCTTTTTTTTTTTTTTTTTTTTAATACTTGGGAGAAATATGCTGTGTCATACAGAATTCAGTGCTCTTAGAACATCTGTCCAATAGAACATTTTTGAAATTAAGGGAATGTTTTAGATGTACTCTGTTTAATTCGGTATTCACTGGCTGCTTATAACTATGAAGTACTCGAAATGTGCTTAAAGTGAATGAGGAACTGGGTTTGTTATTTAACTTTAATTAATTTAAATTTAAACAAGAGGCTACCAGCTATTGTACTGAACAGCACAGATCTGCCTCCCTGAAAGAGATGATTGTGGAGTCCAAGAATTCAGGAAAGAAGTAGAAATTCTGCCCGAGCTTAGAAATATGGAGGAACCTGAAGGACACTGAGGTAAAGACAGGAGGAGCCAAGGCTGAGAGGGAGGGAAGTGTGTGGTTTATGAAAGTCACAGAGGGAAAGGAATTCAGAGAAATAGGAAACTGTGAGAAATTATTCAGAAAGGAATTTCTAGCATCTAGACCATCTTTTGGTTCCACAAACTCGCTATGAATGTTTTACCCCCATCAAGCCTCCTGTTACTTGGCAAAGGGGTTGCACAGTCGTGATGTTTCTGTGATTTTATAAACCAGTGATTTCCGTGGAGTTGTACCATACAACATGGAAGCTGTTCCTTGTAATGTTCAATAGCAACTCTATGGGAATTGAAGCGAATTCAAAGAAGCAATTCCTTAGCGGAGGTGGAAGGAATGTGCAGGCCTGTATAGGCATGGAGGGGCTGGAGAGAGATGGGGGGAAGAGGGAAACCCTTTTATAAGAGTTCTAAAAACTAGTAACTTATTTTGGGCTGCTGTAATGGAACACCGTAGATTCGCTGGCTTACCAGCCAACCAGAGTGTTTTCTCACAGTTCTGGAGGGTTAGAATCCGAGAGCAGAGCACCAGCAGAGCTGATTCCCAGGAAGTACTCAATTCCTGGTTTTCAGGCAGCTGACTTCCTGCTTCTATGAAGCCACTCAACCCACTGCGAGTTTTCCACCCTCTTGACCTGTGACCTCCTGAAGCCCAAATACTAATACATTGGTGATTAGGGTTTCAATATGCAGGTTTTTCAGGAACACAGTCATTAATTTCATAGAAAATAATAAAATGAAAACTGTTTAAATATCTAATTTTTTGGCTAAATTATAACAAAATCATGCAATGGGATGTGATATAGCATTGAAATTACATGAAATAATAGAAAATCTTCAGTAGATATTAAGAGAAAACAGTATGACAACATCATACACAGGAAGATCAATGTATTATTTTAAATAGTAATATTTAGAAAAATGGAAGTGTGCATTATTCTAACACAATACTGAGAAAATACAGTAGGATCGTGATAGAATCTCTGCATGAGGCTTTAAGGGTGATTTTTTAGTTTCTTAGTATTCATCTGAACTTTTTAGATTTTCTAAAGCAGCATAATGAATGCATTTTTATAATCTGGAGCATGGTTTCTGTTGTTTTGTTGTCTTATCTGCAGAGGTATATTCAGAAAGGCAAATAGGTGACCGAATTCTTTCTCATCTGCCACTCACCAGCTTTCCAGTCAAAGTCTCATTGTGTACCCATTTCAGCCATGAGCAGGCACCAGAGCACCATCTCCTAGTGCATTAGACATGGGATAAGTCAATAAAACACTCTTCTTTTAAAATATTCCACTGAGAACCCTGAGGCCCTGGAGAATGGCCTGATTCCCTATTGATCTTTTTATTGCCTCAATTATTTCCTCAATCACACTTAGTTAATTTAGATCCCCACCAACCACCTCCCCCACTGTCTGTTCCATTTGGTCTCTGTTAAATATGAATCTTTGGTGGCACTTCCATTACTAAATTGACAGTTGCATAATGCTTTATTGGCATCTGTAAGAATGGAGCATATTTCTTAGGAACCATGGAGATGATAATCATTTTTTTTTCTGAGCCAGCTAAGCATAGCCAGTGTTTTGTGCTCTTGTAATCTTAATCTTAAAAACAGCAATCCATCTGTTTCACTGTTTCATTCTTTCCTAATAGAAGAACATTTCCCCCACTGTCTCACTGATCTACAGTCATCCGAGCCCAATGGACTCTTGTAAACGGAATTAACTCCAGTGATTTGATGACTTTTCATATTAGTTATCGTTTCAATATAGCTACTCACTCTACTAGGCTTGCTTTTCTAACCCCCAGCTGCAACCCAATTACTGGTTCTTGGATGACTGCATCAGCAGCATTACTGCAGTGCTTGCTTGTAGTAGATATTAATAATAATAAGCAGTTTGTAAGTGTTCATGGTGTTAAATGCATATAAGGATTACTGTTGATAAGCCTAATTGTGATCATCGTCTTGCCACTGGCTAAGTTTGGATTCTGGTGGTTGCAACTCACAGAAGCTTCAGTAAAGCAATGAGGCTTGGTCAGATAGTCCCAGACACATACAGGAGGATCTCTGAAATACTCAGGGACAAGACAGCAGCATGAAGAATTAAAACCAAACTGTAAAACCAGCCCGGCTAGTCTGATTTCTCTCGTTTCTGCTTTTCACTCGTGTTTCTTTTTCTTTCTTTAAATATGATTCTGTGCCCCCTACCTCCGGGGCTCACTTTACAGAAAAACAAATGACTTTCCTACTCCTTGCAGGTTTTCATGGCCATCACTAGAACCTTAGCACTCACAAGTACTCCCTTAACCTCTCAACTTCCTGTTCCCAATTGTGTTTTGCTCTCCCATCTCAATTGCATATTCCTGGGTGTCTGATTGGTCCATCTTTATCCAATCAGCAGCAGTCAGAGACAGGGCCAGACTGTGTCTCCCTCACCTTCTGGAAACAACCGCTGTACCCTGTGAACAGATACGATACGTTAGAAGGTGCTGACCGTAGTTATGCAGTTGATGCTTTTGTTATAGTTAATAAAGTACAGAGATATGTTTGCTAAATTCACCATCTCTTTTGAATTACTATTTAAAGGAAAATCATATAGTGCCTACACAGGTGGAGCCATGAAAAAAATGCATTTTTAATGTTTATGTCCCCCATGGCAAGAAAGAACAATTTTTGTGTCCCTAAGAGGTTGTCACAGAAATAGGCCAGGGAGAGAATGGGGTGTGATCAAAGGATATGAAGTAACACATCAGAAGTAGGAAGAAAAGAACTAGTAATGACACCAAACAGAAGTAAAATAGTGATGCATTAGGTCTAAAAGGTGGTCAGGTTTCCTGCTGTGAATGTGTCTGTGTAGATTCCACAGTTATTAAGAATCTATGCTGTGTTCCAGACACTGTTCTGTACATATTTTATAATGCTTGAATCCTGGAAATAAAGTCTATTTTGAGGCAGCCAGAATACAACAAGCCTTTGCAAGTGGGTCATACTACATTGGATGCCCAAACAAAGGCATATGTGTATTTACACATCTAGTAGATATTTGTTAGACACTTGCTAAGCTGCAAGGAAACCCTCGACCCTGCAGTTACCAGACAGACCTTTGACTGAATCTCTGTGTTGATTAAGATCTGGAGTGGTATGTACTTAATACACCTCTGGAATACCTCTTTGTGTTCTTTAGTTTGTTTAATTTTCAAAGCATAGAAAATTCAAGTAGGTTCATCTCTGATTCCCATTTTGTAAAGAGACAAGCAAGACTTGGAGAGTCTAGGTCAAGGCCATCGTCAAGGCCACACAGTCAGGGATTGATTGGAGGAGCAAGAGTTTGATCCAAGGTCTGTCTGACCACAGATCCTTAGGTTTTCTTTCTTTCACGTTTGAGCTGTGAGTTGTTCAGTCTGCTGTATTCATTTCCTGGAGCATTATGTGAAGTGCAGCCCCGAGCTCTTCTGCAGGTTAATGGTGACAAAGACCTGAGAATGGTTAAACCACAGTGTGGTTAGTACAGTACTTGTGGCAGTTTGCAAAGAGGCTCCATCCCTTGCAGCTGTGGGGCAGGGAGCGAGTTCTTCCTCCGCTGGGCCTCACTGACCTCCTCAGGACAGAGAAAGGAGCAAACAGACTTGCCTTCTAGGAACTTCTGGGGAGCAAGAGAGATGATACATGTAAAAGTGCCAGGATGGTGGCCAGAACATCACACCCTGTGCTCTGAGGAATATTTTTCACACCAGCTGTACACGCTCTGGAAAATCCCCCACTGTCCCTGGTCTTCCACATGACAACATGACACTGCTGACTCTTCAGATATCTCAGTGAAGAATTGTTCAGGTGTCTAGAATGTTCCTCGACTAGAGATAGCTGAGAACGGATACAGAAAAAGTGTTAAGATGTATTAAAAATTGGCTTTTTTTTTCCTGGTGGCAGTTTGTCATTTTTCAATTTGGCATCATTCCTTGTTCTTCTCTCAAACACGTAGATCTGTATGCAGCTTGATTCAGCGGGGATTTTCTTGGGAGGTGCGCCTCTTCAAGTGTGTGGATAAAATTGCCAGGTTTAATTGAAGGCTGTTTAGTCTTGCTCTATTTACAGTCAAAAGCTGATCATTTGCGCTTTTGGCCTCTGTCCTAGACTCCCACAAACGTAACGGTGCCTCCTGGCCTGTGACGGTCTGTGTTTACTCCCTGGAGTTGGCCGCTGGATTTCAGTGGCCTTCCATGCCAGGACTTCCTTAGGCTGGGAGCCAGCTCCCCCAGGCGCTGTTGCAATCCTCACATCCCCTTTGTCTGTCCAGCCCAGGCCACAGTCTTGAAGGCACAAGAATCTGTGATATGTGCCTTCCCTCATTTGAGCAAAGGAGTACAATTATTTATACTAGAAAGAACTACATTGACTTTCAAAAAATTAAAAAGCATAGTTGTGGCACTTGCCGTGTGCTGAGCACTGTTTTCATTTTATAACTAAGGAAAATAAGGCAGGCCGAGCTTCGGAAACTTGTCACACAGGGTCACCTCACTGACAGAGATGCAAAACGAACTCAGGCAGTTCAAGCCAGTCGGAAGTTCTCCACCGCTTTGCCTCTCCCAGAGGCTACCGTAGCAACCTCCATAATTTAATGGGTGAATTTTCACGTAAAGAGCGCCTGATACACAGTGAGAGTATGGAAGTGCTAGCTGTTATCATTAGTATATTGATTCCATGGTGAAAGCTTAGGCCATGAAAGTAAAGGACTTTCATACAGAGTCCAGGGTTCCCCAAGCTGTTTTCTTTCTTTTTTTTTTTTTTTTTTATTTAAGAGGAAAAAGAGAAAAACACAAAACAAAGCAGTGTAAGGTTACACATAATACAGAACTACAAAAAAAAAACATAACAGTAAGAAATCACCTGTTAATAGATTACATATTATCATCTTGGAAATAGTTGCTCAAATCACAGTATCAAAGAATACAAAGTAGACATTCAAACAGAGAGACTGCAAACAGCTGTGTTCAATGATCCAAAAACATTAATATAGTCAGCTATTTAACATCCCTAAACACACTTTTTCTGTAGAATATCAGTATCCAACAAGATGTAATAAAGACTCTATACTTAAAAATAAAAAATGATCATGATCAAATAGGCTGGAAAATATTGGTTAAAAACATACAAGTCTTAAGCATGGTGGTGCATGCCTGTAACCCCAGCACTCAAGAGGCTTAGGCAGAGGATTGCTTGAGGTTGAGGCCAACCTAGGCTATGTAGCGAGTTCAAGACCAGTCTAAACTGCACAGTAAGACCCTGTCTCAAAATAACAAAAAAAAGTCTTTTATGTTGTACTACTACTGGCATATCTTTAGTAATGTGCTTTTTTTGGTCTCCAAAAGGCGGCCATTGTATCCAGGGTCTGCCCACTTTTCCCCTATACTTTGTACATATAGACAACCATGGGGCCTGAAGTGGTTTTCCTTGAAAGGTCTTTCTTACAAGGTTAGTTCTTGGCTAGTATCCGAAATGGGTTTCAGGAGGATTCCTACCATTTCCTGACCAGAACAGCTCACCGCACCTAAACTGTGTCAAGGGGCACCTGCTTTCTGTGAGAGTTGTGGGCCATGCCAGGCAGTGGAGCTAAAATGGCTGACACGGGGCTCTCAGGACCTAGTGAGCTTCCCATGGACCCTTCACACACATTGTCAAACTCCCTGTTGATGAGTTAAATACATCCTTTGTCACTCCACTTGGAAGCCTGAGCATTGGTTCCACTGAATGCTGCCCTCAGTTCCTTTCTTTTGCTAATTTCGCTTTCTGTCCTTTCCCTGGAATAAATGTTAGCCTGAGTATATGCCAGTCCTTTAAGTCCTTCTCGTGAGCCGCCAGTCCTGGAGGTGTCCTTACCCAGGCACTCCCTTTCATCGCCAGGCCTTGAACTCCTCATGGATCACTGGGCTTCTCCATCATACAACATGGGCCATGATGAGCTGTCCAGCCCCACAGGAACAGGCAGGGATGACCCCACACCGTGACTCTGGGCTTTTCCTGAAAAATGTTGGAGTTCTTCAGGCCTATCTAGGGGATTATCAATACTTTTCTTCCCAGATGGGACACATGGGTGAAACAGACCACAGCAGACTGGTCCAGCCTTATCTTTTAGAATAATTGGGTAGGAAGGATAGGAATGGGGCCAGTGATCACAAGTTACAGCCACCACCTATGTTCTCCCAGTTTTAGATTTAACTGTTTAGCCCAGGTTATATTATTAATGTAAAGTTATATATGCATAATGCTTACCTGAGCGTATTACAATAATCTGCTTTAGTGGTTTTTTAAAAATATATAGCTGATTAGAAAACTCTACCGAAGGAACTCTGGGCCTTTCTGAGGCTCACGCCTGCAGCTGTGACATCCTCCAGCAGCCGTGATTTCTCCCCGAGTTCATTTGGCAGCAGCTGCTTCAAGGGTCTCCTGAGAGCAGGTGGGCTGCTCTGGAGCATGAAAAGCCAAACGGGAAGGGCAATTGGCCCCAGCGTGTGTTCCTCCCAGGCCCTTTCTGGTATTACTCCTCTCCACATTCTTCATGGCTCGCTTGGCCTCCTTGTTTTGTTTTTCTGCAGCTGCCAAAAGTTCTATTTGCATATCCTCTGCCCTGGGTGGAGCACTGTTTCCTGTGATCCGGTCTGCTCCATTTTGTTTGCCTCCATTGTCTGTCTAGACGCTGGCCTTGTTTTCCTTTGACCTTGTTCTCATTGCCTTTGTTGATCTGGTGCTAGATGATAGAGTCTTGCACCAGGAACCACCAGTTATTAGTTGATTAACGGGCTCCTTGCTCGGCTGACTGCGGAATAGATGATTCTCTAAGCAGGTCATCTACCTCACTGTCTGCATATCCCAAGGCTCCTCTGCATCCTTCCTCATGTGTGTGTTTCTTCTATATAATGGCTGTTTTTAACTTCTCCAAGTCCCTGCTCAGGGTCTGGCTGGTCTTTTGTGTAACCCTGGGCCCTTCCTGGACCATGGACCCCCACCAGTATCTCTATCTGCAGTAGGTACCTTACCACATACCATTTTATTTGCTTACACACCCAACACACAGTGATTGAGCTCCTTTAAGAGCCATTCAACACACTAGCAAAGAAGGATGTGTAAGCAAAGCTCCTGCCCCCAGGATCTTACTGTCTGGTTGAGCAGCAAGACATGGTCCCACTATTCTTGATCCCATGCTAGTGCTGGTTTTTCTCACCTCTGAAGTCCTCAAAAGCAGAGAACTCCTCTTAAATTTTTTTGTACTTACAGAATGCTAAATGGTCATAGTAAATAATGGTCAGGAACCCAAGAACAGATCCAGTTTGTATCCTGTCTATGCAGTTTCATACCAGATTAGCATTTATTCTTTCATCTGTAAACTGAGGGGGGTCATGTCTACCTCTGCTGGTGTTCTAATAACTGATCTAGATAATGGTTATGAAACGTCTAACTCTAATCCCGTAAGTAAATGCTAGTCATAGTTCGTGCTGAGCCAACTTATGACATAATAGTTCATGATTTTTTTTTTCCTGGAACTTTGGCCTTAGAGAAACATTGGGAGATTTATCCTGATGGGCTAGATCCCAGCATTGTGCTGTCAAACCTCCCCATTTGGGCCAACCTGAGCAGGATGGGAGGGATTGAAGGAGGGTGCCATTATGAATCAGAAAGGCATCGAAGCATGCAAAGACCTGCCAGGCTTGCTCTGCACAAGGAAGTGGATTTCCACATCCATTTTTGGCAAGAAGGTTTCTGTCCCTCACTTGCTTCATTTGCTGGCAGTTACTAGATATAGAGCAGAGGTGGATAGGAAGGAGAGAATCTCTATATAGCACTCGTGTACTGTGTGCTGGGTGCCGTGTACGGATAGAGCCTCCCTCTTGATGATATCCCTGCCAAGGAGATGTTCTTATTCCTACTTTACCGACTGGAAATCTTAGAGGGTTAAGTGGAACCCATTGTGAACCCTGCGGTAAATCAAATCCTCGAAGGTTCTGGCCCAGTCTGGCCTGATCTGCCTATGTTTCCTCTACTGTAGAGCCTACACCCGCACATCCCAGGAGGCCTGTGGTGCATAAGGAAACTCACAGCAGTCTTGCAACTCTGTTGTCCTTGTACCCCTCTGGGCCAGGACTAGTGTGAGTCCACTGGGGTGTTCACTCTCAAGCTCTTGTATGCACAAACGGTTCACTCAATAATCCCACTCAGTCCCTCCTGCTGACCGGCCTGGCATGCGGCTGTTGGAATTTTGTAGTGAAAACTACACAAAGACCTTGATCACCAAGATGACCAGGACAGGCCCCAGATCAGCTCACAGGCAGTTTGCTATACTTCCTCCAACTGCCCGTTGCTATTTCTGGATGTCTCCTGACCTCATGATTTTTCCCTCCAAATCACAGTGTAGCCAAACAGGCAGGAGGAGTAAGAGACCAACCAGGTCCTCCATTAATCCTAGAAAATAGGTTTCAGCTGGTTCAGTCGGTGGGACGTGGCCAGATAGAGGAGGATGGTGAGGTCAAAGCCTAGTGCTGGAGATTAGCGCCGGGTGAGCAGGTCTGTATCAGACAGGGGCTATGGGGAGGGGTACTTGCTATTGTTGGAACCAAGGGCAACTGTCCTTATCTTACAGATGAGGAAACCGAGGCCCTGAGAGCCATGATGACTTACTCTACTTCTTCACTTAACTAGCTAATGGGAAATGAGGAGTAGAAGCCTTATTTCCTACTCTTATCCCTTTTCTCACATTCAGAAAAATGTGAGAACCATGAACTTTCTCCTCTTCACTCTGCTATTTCCAGTGCCATCACTAAATCATAAAAGGAGGATCTATCCATGCTATTCCCATGCCAAGTTTTACTCTTTCTCAAGGTTATTTTAAAATTAGTCAATTCCTCATTACTGAAATACCAGAGGTAATTAACTTACAAAGAGAAAAGGTTCACTCCCAGTGTAGAGAGTCATGTCCAAGGTGGGGCAGCTCAATGGCTTGGCTTCAGAAGATTGCAGCAGGTAGCAGTGACAAGAATCCATATCAGGTGTGTGGACCCATCACAAGGAAGGATGCAGAGAAAGAGAAGGTGGGCCAGTGGCACACAATCCTTTTGGGAACACCCCCCCCCACTCCGTGATGTATGGAACTCCCCAATGCCCCACCTCCCAGAGGTTCCAGCATCTACAGGAACATCATCCTGGTGACTAAACCTTTAACATATGCACCTTTGGGGAACACTCTTCCAAGTGGCAGCTCTGTCTTTGTACTTGGGTCTTCATAATGTAGTTCATGGACAGCCCACATCAGAATCATCTTCAGCATTCATTCAAAATGGACAGCCCACAGTTCTGAGTCAGATGATTCCAATGCTGCAGTTTAAAATCTACTAATTTGGATTTGAAATTTTTCATATCAGTGATTTCTTACTTAGTTGGCATTCTCTAGATTTTTCTTTTCTTTAGGACATGAAATCAGTACTTCCATGATCATCTTGTATTGCTGATTCTCAGTCAGATTTGATAAGAAATTAAAGTCACTGTGCTTCTCATCAAACTATGATTTGAGCAGGATAGAAATTTGTGAAATCTGAGAAATTCTCGGAAGAGGAAGCATTCAGTTTGCTTTTGTGGGTCATGATAGAGTTATAAAGATTCCTCATTAATTACTGGTGTGTTTTCAATAAAAGGTCTCTTGTCAAGGACGGTGAAACACTCTTTAGATCTTTATTCTTAGGGTAGCAAAATATTTCCAAATACACATCAATGTTTTCCTCCAACTTCTTCAAAAGAATCAGTTTGATACTGAAATCAGAAGATGGATTCTGGTGAGTGTGAGTAGTATTTCTAGGTGTATATCTGACACACACAGGGCTTCAGAAAACTTGCATTCCTTGCCAACATGAAAAATTCAGAAAATTTTAATATTTTAAAAGATAAACTCTTTCCATTACTTTAAAAGTTCAAAATATTTTCACCTTGGGTCTATTATACAGCATGTTTCTGCCCTCTCAAATTCATACATTGAAACACTAACCCCATTGTAATGGCATCCAGAGGATGGAACCACTCTGAGATAGGATTAGTGCCCTAAAAAAGGAACCCCAGAGATCTCTGTTATTTTCTTTCTGCCAGTTACAAAAGAAGTTAGTAGTCAACAGTACTGGAAACTAGCCTTCAGAAGGTGAGAAATTAATTTCTGTTGGGTAAGCCACCCAGTTTATGACATTTTGTTGTAGCAAACAGATTAAAACAGGGCCACAGTACAGCAGTCCAGTAGGTTCTCTGTTTAAAGACATTAAAGATGCTTGTAAATTCTTTGACACCCCACCTATTGAGATGTAGACCTAGGGAGCTCTCCCCTTGAGTCTGGAAAGGCTTAATAACTTCTCTGATCGGTAAAATACAGTAGAGTTGAGGTTCACTCAGGCCCAGAGACTACAACCTAAGAAGCCAGAAGTGTATGATTGCTCTCTGTTGGGACACTCAGACTGCCTGAGCCCACTATGCTTTGAAAAGGCCAAGCTGCAGAAAGTGACCCGAGAGGAAGAGACAGGAAACTCAGAAAGAGAGAAAGTAGAAAGATGAAGGAACACCCTGGTGCCAGACCCAGGAATAAAGATGCCATTTTGGAAATGAATCCTCCATCCCTGTGAGGAGTGGGCACCTGGCTTACAGAAGGGCACCGGCCCTTCACAAGTACATAAGCCACAGAAGTGTGACCAAAATGACATGATTGTTCTATTAAATTTGAAATCAGTATATCAAATAAAAGACACTCATATTAATTTCCTCTGTTTTGAGCCTTGTCTTATGCCAGCCTTATTTAAATTGCTTTACATCTGAGCTCCTAAAATAATTTGAGTTCATAATCTTTATCTAAGCCATGGTCTTGAGATCCTTGATTTATGTCAAGTTTTGGAAATATTAAAATAAAAATATATGGGGCTGAGAGTTTAGCTCAGTCGCATATGTGCCTGCCTGGCAAGCACAAGGTCATGAGCTTGATCCCCAGCACCAAAATAAATAAATAAATATGCTTATATATATGCATGTATAATGTGATCAAAAACTATGGCGAATGTTTTAAATTTATATAGTACAAGCAAAATATTGCCATTAATCCTTCTCAAAGATACTTTCTTCACTTCAAACATACTTACCCCATTGTTCTTGGCACTTTCTAAGCAGCTTGGGAAATCCTGTTTCATGACCATCTTTAGTTATACTGTCATGGCCGCCTTGGTGTCCCAAATTAATTCAAAACATTTACTATCCGTTGTCATTTTGACTTTGAACCAGTGCCACATCTAGTGAATCAGGAGGTTGAGGACACACCATAATGTCCTTACAAGCTTGCCTTTCAGGTGGATGGCACTCAGCAGCAACATTCACTGTAAGAACGCTCATGAAAGAACCCCAGAGCTGCTTCAGAAAGTGTTGGAAAGACGGGATAAGTGTGGTCAAAGTGAGGCTGAGTGTTTAGAGGAGGGTTAATGGTGCCATGTCTTGTACTATAATTAATTTTTTGAAAGTATTTGTGTGTGTAGGAGTACGCGGGTTCTTTATCTGTGGATTCAGCCAAAAGAAAATTGCATCTGTACTAAAAGTGTACAAACTTTTTTCTTTTCAATTTTCCCTAAACAGGGCAATACAACAACAATTTGAATGAATTACGTTGTATTAGGCATTATAAATAATCTAAAGATGATTTAAAATATGTGAGCTGGTGGGTACAGGCTGTATGCAAATATCCCATGATTTTATATAAGGGACTTGGGCATCCTAATTTTGAGATCCATGGTTGATTCTGGAACCAACCCCTGCAGATATTGAGGGCCACCCCTACATGACAAAAGCAAGTTCTGAGAGATAACGAAGCCCTGCAAATTTCTGCTCGCAGTACTTCATCTTCAGTGGACCACCTTGAGAGATCCGAGTTCCAGGCTCAATCGGTGCTGGGTGTTGGCTTCCTTACTCATAAAAGTGGACCTGTCCATCATAGCTATTGGTGAGTCTGAGTGAGACAGCCCAGCTTCCGTGTTTATTCTGAGTGTATATTTGTGTGTCTTGCAACATTAGAGACACAGGTACTCCGTGGCAGTCCAGGCTGTGTGACAAATAATGTCTAATTCTGTGTTGAAGCCTGTACCTGACCCATCTCATACCTCCAGCCCTCAGTAAATATTTGTTGAATAAGTGAATGAGCAAATGTCTATGCGTTCATCCCCACAGTTACAAAGACAAATGAGACACAGTCCCTGCCCTTGAGGAGCTCACAGTCTATTGAACACAGGCGGCAAATTAAATACTGGTCATGCCTCTTGGGTAGCACCTATTTTAAAACTTAGAAACACTATTTCATCTATGTGGAGCCACAGATGCAATGACCAGATAGGTGAAAACGTGCCTTGGAGGAGCCCAGAAGGGCCTGGAGGTGCTAACCACCTCCCTACAGAGACATCCTGGCTGTGCTCTGCCACTGCTGGGAAGAAGAAAGAGGGGACCCCGCCCCACTGTGGGAACTGAGCCACAGTGACTAGGAATCACCCTGGGGGACCTGCCAAAAACCAGAATGAAACTACCAATGCATCATTCCATCAGCTGCACAGATTGCACGGAAACAGCAATGAGTCCACTCCTCAGAGCTGCAGCTAGAGAAGAAGGGTTCAGGGACCCAGGGCAGACCCCAGTGAGCTGTTATTTAAAAGCAGAGGCAACTTGGAGGGAGAGGCTGGGAAGGGCGGAGTGGAAGTGGGTACCAGGCACAGCAGGAGCGGTGTGTTCTGGTGTTCTGTAGCACGGAGGGCTGACTGTAGTTCACAGTAACCCGTATATATTTTATAAATACCAGAAGAGAGGCACTCAAAGCGATGATAAGGAAATGGAAACATTAATTATCCTGATCTGATCAGTATGCATTGAGTGTGTCTCCTGCAATTCACATAGTACCTCATAAATATATACAATTATTATGTGTAATTTAAAAACTTTTAAAAATGTTTAAGTAGACAGCGTTATTCACTAGCCTGATTTGATCACTACATGCTACACATGTATCAAATTATCATACTGTACTCAGTAAATATGTGCAACTAGAATAATTGATTTTAAAGAGATGTGAGGACGGCCTGGGTTTTGATTAGCCCCAGGAATTACCTTTTATTCCTTTCCAAATATGTTTGGCAAAGTGTCAACTTGTGCATTTCCCCCCTTGCTTTATAATTAATGATGTTAGTGAAGTTGGATAGAGGGGAGGCCAGACCCTTGTGGCTTTATTCCTCCACTGGCATTCATAGAAATACATTGACGAGATCACCACTTGCAGTGTGTTGGTTAAAATGCATTTGGGTTTCAAAAGACGTCTTTGGTTTTTGTCGGCTGGTAGGACCAGTGGGTATCAGGAACCATGAAGGGGGGATCTTCCCTGACCATCCATCGCCCAGCCATGGCGCTGTGCCCCAACTCAGAAGGGCTAAGGTGGAAATGAGGGGAACCTGGTGAACTACTTAACCAGTGGTCAATTCACTACCTTCCTTCAATTGACCATGGGTTCAGTAGACCGTAGGTTAGTGGAAATCCATTTAAAAAGGTAAGAACAGTGACAAAAGCAGCCAAACTCCTGTCTTCCTCACAGTCCTTGTGGTTTAGTTGATTGGTACCTTTACACTTTACAAAGAAAATGTCATCTTTGTTAAGAGTTGGAGTCTTCTTTAAAGGGTAGCATTGTAGTCATTCAGCATTAGTGTAAACTCACTGCCTTAGCAGTTACATAAAACCACACCTATAAATTGTTATTTACATAGCAGTTGTAGGAGCTGTCAAAGGGAAGTGCTCATTTAGTGTGTGTGTGATAAGGCACCCACTGTGTGTCTTCTCATTTCTAGCTGAAGAGACCCACTTTAGAAAAAAGAAGAACGTTAAGTTTTCAATCATACATGCCTCACATACTGACTGTTTTCTGCTCTTTTACTTTGCACGACCTTTCCTTGACAGGCGGAGCAGTAGTGCCTTACAGTTAGCTGGAGAGGGTCTGCTCTGGGGTCTGCTCTGGGGTCCGATCTGGGATCCGCTGTCCTGAGAGGTTAGTGCCTTCAAACCTCAAATCGCAAGACTTGGTCTTTGCATAGGCGCCACCTTAAACAAGTAAAAGTTGGAGGTAACAGGAAGGTGAAATCGGATTAAAGAAGGCATGTCAAGACAGCAGGCTTGGTCTTCCTGCTCCTGTGCGGTCTGAATCAATAAGTACCTTGGGACCCAGGGCACGTACAGGGACAGTGATGTGCAAAAGCAGAGCTGTGAGTGACTCAAGTTGCTGGTCCCCAGCCAGCAATTACTAGGGACCCGCTTGGTTGCAGAGTCTTGTCCACTAATCTGGAGTGCTGACACTTTCAAAGGAGAACAATCTGGAGAGAATTCCTGAAGCATGAGGCACTCTCTTCCTCAATTCATAAAGATGTTTCTGCCATCCTAAAAATCATAGACCCAAGAGGAGCTTTGAAAGATCATATTGTCCATGGTCCCGTTTTAGGTACAATCACAAGTAAGCCATCCATAAAAGATATCAACGTGCCTGTTTTAAGCCTTCACAAGAAAGGCAGTGTCTGGCTTTCCTTGATACTTCTGATGTTTAATTACCTGGAAGGAAAGTCCTGATTTGTGTTCAGAGTCAGGCAGAGCTGGGTTCCAATGCCTATGCTTTTGCTCTCTGACTGTCTGACTTTTAGCAGGTTATATGGTCTTGTCAAATCCTGTTACAGCTAATTTGCAACACAGAGATAAGCAGCAGGCACCTTATATTCATGATAGGTTTTTAAAGAATAAAGAGAAATACATGTAGTATTTGTGGCCAGCGGAGGGGACCCTCAATGTGTCCTGCTTCTCTGTCCCTCTTTTACCTATCCTGATACCCTCATGTGGCTTTCCTCATGCTGTCCGGCCTCGGTTTGGAAGAGGGTATCAGGTATGTGATCACAAAGTAGTGGATAGTGTGGATGGACCTGGCAGATGTGGAGGGAAGCTGGCTTTCCATCCGCAGAATAGCAGGATAAAAGGAGAAAGCACTTAGTATATCACCCAAGGTTGTGGGAGAGTTAGTACTCACTAAAAATCCTTTGCAAATAGGGCTTAGGGCAAAGTAGCATTGTGCTAGTCCCCTTAAATAGTGAGGGAAGACAGCTCCTTGGAAATTAAGCATGTAGGAGAATTAGGGAAAGATAGTAGCAGAGAGCTACAGAAAACCATATGCACAGAGGAAATGGGACATGTGGGTAAAATAGCAACTGGGGTGCTAGTTGAGTCCTAGGTAAAGGACCTTTGAGGCAGTAGATGTGTGCTCTTAAGAGATCTGAGAAGACCCTCTTGCTTTAGAGGTGACTATTTCCTCCAGGGTTAGGAAGTTTCTGGCCTCACAGCTTAAGGTATACATGCAAAGATCCTCAGCACTGCACAGGAGAAAGTATTTTTCAAAGTTATTTGGATTTGAAAAGCGGTCTGTATAAGCAAAATGAAGTTAACTGATTCTCACAGCACATGTTTTTAATAGTGGGACTAAATGAGAAAATGTTAAGAAGAATTTTCAAATATAGACAGCCACGAAGAACAACATTTTCAATTTCAGAGAATGGAAAACTCTAGAAGGGGTTAGAATTATGGTAGCTGTGATTCAGAACAGATTAGAGAAGTACTTCTTAGCAGGAGAAGGATAAGGGAGGAGGATAAAAGGAAGGAAGAGAAGAAGAAATCGCAATGATTTTCCTACATGTCACAGATACAAAAGCAGACATTCTCTGTTACAATGTGAGTGTAGTCGTTCCTGAATATTGAAGGGCTGGGATTTATCTCTCCATGTGCTTCATGCACCAACGCGATAGAGCATGCATAGCCCATGCCAGGTGCAGTGTTGAGGTCTGGCTTAATAGAGACGACAGCCACAGGCCAGGTTCTCAGAGAGCTCACCGATTCATGCCTGATGCTCAGTAACTAGCTGTTAAATAAATTTGTAAGCAGAGTTGTGCAAGCAGATTGATTAGAATATGATGACATAAGTGCTGAGAGCTACTGCCATAGCTCAGTGTTTCTATTTCTAAAAGTAATTGGGGGATGCTTTACCGAAGATGCCCCATTTGGGCGACATCTTGAAAGATAATTATTGGTTTGTGGGCGGGACATTGAAGGGAAGGACACACGTGCCAGAGGCCTGGTGCCTGGACTGCATGGATACCACACAGCCTCATGGCAGTGAGTGCATGTGACTGAGCAGAGGTTGAGAGGCCAGCAGTCAGAGAGCACACTGGGGAGGGTGAAGTGCATGAACCCCAATTCATTAGTCTCCTGTTCCTCATGTTGAATGCTGTGTTTACTGTAAGTCCTGCTCGATGTCACACTCCCCTCTGCTTTCCTGAAAATAGGACACTCCTTCACAGGTCTTATTTGCAAAAAACGTAAAACAAAGGAGCCATCACTGATTCGCTTCCTAAAAGATAAATATTGGGGAGATAGTTCCTCAGCCTGGGAACCCTCCACGTGAACGTTAGGTATTTGTGAGCGTGCCTTCTCTTTTAGAGGTGGCACACTCGGGAATATTCTACATAAAGCTCAGAGCAACAAGGTTGAAGTTAGAGCAGTGGACTGGCTGTGGAGCTCTGGCCACCTCAGCATACAAACATTACGTATCACAAGCATATACTTACAAAAATACACTTCCAAAAAGTGTCAACTGTGCCCAGCGAGAGAGACTCCTCGAAGCTCAGAACCGGCAGGAACTCGCTTCGGGCAAATGCTGGCTCTTAGACTTTCCTACCAAGGAGAGGTGAACAAAG